GAAACGTCAAAAATTGAAAAATTGAAAAACCTAGAAATTTTAAAACCGAAAAATTGATAAGATTCGAAAAATTGAAAAATCGTAACACAAGAATATCGGAAAATTGAGAAATAGAAAAATGAAGAAATCGAGAAATCAAAAATTTGAAATTTTTCAGAATCTAGCAATTGAAGAACCGAAATTGAAAAATGTTAACACTTAAATATCGAAAAATTAAGTAAAGGAAAAACTGAAAATCGAGAAATCGAAAAACTAAAAAATCGAGAAATTTAAAAATCAAAAAATTGGAGATTAAAAAAATTAAAAAATAGTAAAACTGGAATAACGAAGAATTGAGAAATCGAAAATTGAAAAATCGAGAAATCCAAAAGCCGAAAACTCGGATATTTGAAAAATTGAGAAATTAAACATTGAGAAGGCGAGGAACCGAAAAATCGAAAAATCAAAGTCAAAAAATGGAAAAATGGAGAAATTGAAAAACTGAAAAATCGAAACATTGAAAGTTGAGAAATCGAGAATTGGGAAAATCAAAAGATTAATTAAACGGGAAATCGAGAAATCGATAAATTGAAAAATCGAAACAATGGAAAACTTCGAAAAGTCGAGAAGTGTATAAAACGAAAAATTGGCAAATCGAAATATTGACAAGTTAATAAGATTTTAATTTAAAAAAATCGATAATTCGAAAAATTGAAAAATCGAAAAATCGAAAAATTTAACAAACAAAAAGTCCAAAAACTGAAACATCGAAATATTTAAAACCCAGAAAAGTCAAAAAATCAAAATCGAAAAGTCAAAAAATCAAAATCGAAAAATTGAAAAATCAAAAATCTGAAAGTTCGAAGAATTAAAAACTGAAAATCGAAACATTGAAAAGGCGAGAAATCGATAAATGGGAAAATCAAAAAATTAATTAAACGAGAAACTGAAAAATTGAAATTTAAAAACGTCAAAAATAGAAAAACCTAAAATTTTAAAATCGAAAAATTGGGGGATCGAGGTATTGAAAAATTCCAAAACTGAAACATCGAAAAATTGAGAAATTAAAAAATTGAAAAATCGAGAAATCAAAAAATTTGAAAATTTTGAAGAATCTAGCGATTGAAGAATCGAAATTGGAAAATGCTAAGACTTAAATATCGAAAAATTGAGTAAAGGAAAAAATAAAAATCGAAAAGTAGCAACATTGAGATAACTAAAAATTGAAAAATTGAAAGTTAAAAAACGAGGAATCGACAAGTCGAAAAATCGAAAAATTGAAAAATCTAAAACCTGGAAACTGAAAAATCGAAACATTGAAAAGTCGAGAAATCGATAAATAGGAAAATCAAAAAAATCAGTTAAACGGGAAACTAAAAATCGAAAAAATGAAGATTTAGAAGCGTCAAAAATTGAAAAATTGAAAAACCTAGAAATTTTAAAACCGAAAAATTGACAAAAGATTCGAAAAATTGAAAAATCGTAAAACTGAAACATCGAAAAAACGACAAATCGAATAATGAAAAAATCGAGAAATCCAAAAATTTGAAATTTTTAAGAATGTAGCAATTGAAGAATCGAAATTGGAAAATCCTAACACTTAAATATCGAAAAATTAAGTAAAGGAAAAACTGAAAATCAAGAAATCGAAGAACTGAAAAATCGAGAAATTTAAAAATCGAAAAATTGGAGATTAAAAAAATTAAAAGATAGTAAAACTGGGATAACGAAAAATCGAAAAATCAAAGTCGAAAAATGGAAAAATTGAAAAATCAAAAACCTGAAAATCGAAAAATGAAAACTGAAAAATCGAAACATAGAAAATTGAGAAATCCAGAAATGAAAAAATCAAAAGGTCAACTAAACGCGAAATCGAGAAATCGATAAATTGAAAAATCGAAACATGGGAAAATTCGAAAAGTCGAGAAGTGGAAAAAACGAAAAATTGAGAAATCGGAATAGGTCAAATCGAAATATTGACAAGTTAAAAATTGAAAAATTGAAAGATTTTAAATTAAAAAAATCGATATTTCCAAAAATTGAAAAATCGAAGAATTAATAGTCAACAAATCGAAACATCTAAATCTCGATAAGCCGAGAAAAAGAAAAGTTGAAAAAATTAAAAACCGACAAATTGAAAAATTTAAAAATAAAAATTTCAAAATATGGAAAAATTGAAAAGCTAGTCAAAAAATGGAAGTAATAAATAGCTGAAAAATTTAAAATTTAAAAATTGTTTTCAATCTACTAAACTAAAAAATCGAAAAATAGAAATCGAGAAGTCGAATAACCTACAATTTTAAAAATCTAGAAATGGAAACATCAAAAACCGAAAAATTTAAAAATCTAAAATTTAAAAATCGAAAAGTCGAAAATCGAAAAACTGAAGGATCGGAATACTGAAAAATTGAATTATTGAAGAATCGAATAATTTTAAAGTCCAAAAACTGAAACATCGAAATATTTAAAACCGAGAAAAGTCGAAAAATTGAAAAATCAAAAACCTGAAAGTTCAAAGAATTAAAAAACAGAAAAACGAAACATTGAAAATTCGAGAAATCGATAAATGGGAAAATCAAAAATCAATTAAACGGGAAACTGAAAAATTGAAAATTTGAAAACGGCAAAAACTGAAAAATCGAAAATTTGAAATTTTGAAGGATCGAAATTGGAAAGCCCAAACACTGAAAAATCGAAAAATTGGACATTAAAAAAACTTGAAAATAGTCAAACTGAAACAACGAAAAATTGAGAAATCGAAAGTTGAAAAATAGAGAAATCCGAAAGTCGAAAAATCGAAGACGAAAAACGAAGAAATTGAAAAACTAAAAACCTGAAAATTGAAAATTGAAAAACTGAAAAATCGAAACGAAAAAGTGCAAAAATCGAGAAATCGAGAAATGAAAAAATAGAAAAATCTAAGATTTAAAAACCGAAAAATTGAAAAATCCAAAAAATAAATGTAATCGAGAAATCGAAAAATCGAAAAGTCAGAAAATCGAAAAATTGAAGAATCGAAATATTAAAAAACCCCAAACCTGTAATATTAGAAAATAGAAGGAAATTTCAAAAACTCAAAAACTGAAGTATGAATAATGAGAAATCGAAAAACTAAAAATGAGGATTCGAAGAGTTGAAAAATCAAGTCGAAAAATGGAAAATTGAAAAATCGAAAAGCTGAAAATTGAAAAATTGGAAAACTGAAAAATCGAAACGAAAATTCAAAAGTCGAGAAAAATGAGGATTCGAAGAGTTAAAAAATCAAGTCGAAAACTGGAAAATTGAAAAATCGAAAAGCTGAAAATTGAAAAATTGAAAAACTGAAAAATCGAAACGAAAATTCAAAAGTCGAGAAATCGAGGAGTGGAAAAATCAAAAAATCCAGAAACAGAAAAATTGAAAAATCGAAAAGGTAAAAGATCAAAAAATGTATACCTAAACCGAAAAATCTAAATTAACCGAGAAGTCGAAAAATAGTAACATCGAGAAAACGAAATATTAAAAAACTAAAAAATCGATAAATCGAAAAATCCAAAATATCTAAAAAGTAAATATTCGAAAAATCGAAAAATCGAAAAATAGAAGAAAAATTGAAGAATCGAAAAATTGAGATATCCTAGAACTGAAACATGAGAATTGAAAAGTCGAAAAACTGAAAAATCGACAATTCAAAAAAGTCGAAAAATAGAAAAATTGAAAAAACAAAACTTGAAGACCGAAAAAATCGAAGAACTGAAAAACTGGGAAATCGAAACATTGAAAAGTCGAAAAATCGGGGAATGGAAAATCAAAAAATCAATTAAACGAGAAGTTGAAAAATCGAAAAACTGAAAATTTAGAAATGTGAAACATTGAAAAACTGAAAAATCTAAAAATTTAAAAATCGAAAAACTGAAAGGTCAAAAAATTGGAAAAATGTAAAAACAGGAACAATTGAGAAATCAAATAATGAAGAAACCGAGAAATCGAGCATTTTCCATTGGTTCTTCAGAATCGAAAAGTTGAAGAATCCTAATAATGAAATGAAACTGAAATATCGAAAAATTTAGAAATCGAAAGGTAAAAAATCGAGAAACCGAAAGGCCGTAAAATCAAAAATTCAAGAGAATAAAAAATCAAAAAAGAATTCTACAATTTTGACATTTCTCCCAAAAATCTCCATATCCATGTTAAAAATTTAACATGGATTCATAAACCACAAGTTCAAGACTAGGTTACTTTTTAACATTTAAGTAACATTTATTCCACAAAACTGTAAGATGACAATCAAAAATTCCTTGTTCTCCATGATTATAATATTGCAATTTTAAATTTAAATTGTAAAATATTGCTACAGAATTGTGATTTTTTTCCAAAAATCTGAATGCCTAAGGTACAAACTCAACACGGATTCATAAACCATACTGTTTTTACTGTTGTAAAATTTGAAGACGACGTCATTCCATTGTTGGTGGGGATGAGCAGACAAATTTTAGTTAGCATCTACTAGACATTTCTAGCATATGTATAAAATTTGACAACAATCGGTCCAGTAGTTTGATAAAACTTTCTCAAAGAAATCTGACCTGACCTAACCTGCCCTAACCGGATCTGACCAGGCACACATCAGCTCAGTCTACTGAAGGCGAAGAAATTACCGTCTAAACCTTTTAGGTTGATTTTTTTCATTTCATTAAAAACTGCAAAAACGTTTAACTTTCTCTTCTCTCTTGTTTCGAATTTTTTAATTACACATTCTTTTTCATATTTCATTTACAAACATAAATGAATCTTCTACCTTAAAATATTCAACTCAATCTATAAATTGAATATCAAAATAAAATTAAAATTCAAACAAAAAATATTCTGTCGCCAGTAATTAAAAAAATTATAATAACCTGACCACGCGATTATCAAAATGACTCACTTAACACCGTACCCATCAATACCCACCCTCCCCGACCCAATCCCCAAGGTTGCCCCTCCCTCCCACCCACAACCTCACGTGTATTCCTGAAGATACGCAACCATTGTCAGTTTAAATATGCACCTGTAACAACCAGCAACAAAAATGTGCGACATTAGCAACACCCGCAAGTTCTTCACGATCGTGTTGGTCGCCCTCGTGCGCGACGTCCGCCCCCAGATCAACCCCCAGCAGCAGTACAACCCCCAGCAGGACTACAACCCGCAGGTCCTGGACCCGACGCGCCAGGACGCCAAATTCGACAACCGCTTCGACACCCGCTTCGACAGCAACAACAGGTTCAACATCAACGAGGACCGGCCCAACGTGAACCAGAACTTCCAGGGGGACGTCCGGGAGCTGCTGCAAGCCCTCGACGCCCAAGGGTCCCAACAGTGCACCCGCAATGTAGCGGCCCAGTGGAACTTCGAAACTAACGTCAACCAGGGGACCCAGCTGGAGGCGGTGAGTGAAATTGGTTATCTTGCAGGAAGTGGGCTTGGGAAAATAATAAAATAGAGCGACATGTTCTCAAGCTATTGTTTGGGTTTTACTTTCAGTTTGTCGATGTTATGTAAAGTGAGTTGTTGAAAGGAAATTTCGTTGGAAATGGGTTTTCTAAGGGTGATTTAAACGGGTCGAGGTGGAAGGTCGTGTTTGCACGATTAGGTTTTTCTAGGTTGTGTTGGAGCAATTAATGGAAATTTTTATAATGTGGGTTATTAATTAAAAGTGTATGATGCGACAAAAAATGCTCTAATAACAACCATGACATGTCGTCATAAAAAACTGTTTGTTCAAGGAATGTGGATATACTTGTACTAAAAGCGACAAACAAAATTAGTCTTCGCACTTCTGAATGACAATTTTGATTAATCTTTCTTTAAAGAATGAAAAAATTATATTTAAATCTCATTCGGTGTGATTTATGAATAATGTTTACTAAACACGGTTATTTTCTAGCAAAAAAGTCGATTGTATGCTAATGTCCTCTGCATTGCCTTATTAAGATAATTGCAAGAAATAATGTTCAATCTCTTACTTCTTATTAGAATACGAAATTTTCACACCGTCACTTTAATGAAACTGACTCTATAAATTAAGTAAATATTTTAAAATTTACTTTCGGCGTCACTTTTACTAGAACCTCAAATATTTCGATAAATGCGACCCTGACTTTCAACAATGTTAGTTTTGTTATTATTTTTATGTTAGCGTGATATTTTTAATTAAATAACCATTATTTGGGTTTCAGTGCACTTTTTCAGAATCCTGTGAAGGAATTACAATTAACAATATCATTTTTGTCGGAGTCAATCCAAATTCCATTTTTTTTTATTAAAAAAAAAAAATGAAATTTACGTACAAAATTCTTTTAGTTAAATGCAAAGCCAAGGCAATGATTTTATGTATCTTTTAAAAATACGATATTTAAATTTACCACGAAAACAAAGTTTACAAGGCAACTTTATTCGTTAGGAAAATTTTTAAATTATATAGAAATCTATTAATTGTTTTCTTAATTTTTTAATGCAGTAAACAAACAGTTTTATCACTTAAAAAATGTCAGTGACGACATAGTTATGGCAACAGTATCTTCTTCATGAGTCATAACATAGTGATTAATAATTAATTTTTTAAATATTTTTTCAAAAAATGTTTGTTGATCAACCGTCAACTGGGCTCTTCTGGTTTTACTTCAATAATAAATTTATGATTAAAAAAAAATAATCTACCAGAATACGAGCACAGCGAACACGTTCAGGTTAGTTAAATCCCATAGACATTATTGACCACATTTTTTTTTCAATTTTTAAATAACAAAAAAATGTTTGATAATAAATTAACTTCTCAGCTATACCGGTAAATCACTTCTGACATTAGTTGCACGTGCTCGTTGTGCTCCCATTGTGATTGTTCTTTTTATAAACAATTTAATCCCTAAAAATATTTGTCAATCAATTTCAATAATAAATTGCTAAATATTCTTATAAAGCTAAATTACTACAAAATACGAGCGCAGCGAGCACGTTCAGATTGTTTGAGTTCCACAGATATTAGTGATCACTAATATTTATTACTCAGATTTTTGAAATAATAATAGCAATTGTGTTAATAATTTAGCTTCTCAGGAACACCAATTACTCATTTTTAATATTACCTGAACTTGCTCGCTGCGCTCGCATTCTGATTGTGCTTTATTTAAATACATTTTTAATAAAATGTTTACTAATTGACCATCAACAGGTTTCTTCAGGTAATAATAAATTTATAGACACCCTTGTGAAGCTTAATAGTAATTTTTGTTTCAAGAATGATTTTTTCTAGTTTTTTTTCAGTGTACATTTTTTTACTATTTTTTCCAAAATTTCTTGATTCTTTTTAATATTTGTCTTTACATTTTCTATTTTGCGAGACTGACTTTCGGAAAATCGAAAAACTAAAAAATCGAAAATTTTAAAAACCGAAAAATCGAAATCGAATACTCGCAAAATCCAAAATTTGAGCAATACAAACATGAAGAAACCTAAAAATCGGAAAGTCGAGAAATTTTAAAAATCAAATAACCGAGATATCAAAAACCGAAATATCTAAAATCGTAAAATCAAAAATATGAAAAATCGAAAAATTGAAAAATAAAAAAACCGAAACATTAAAAAATGGAAATCTAAAACCGACAATCGAAAAATCGAAACAGCAAAAAATTAAAAAATTCGAAAAATTGTTTTCAATCAAAAAATAAAAAATCTAAAAATTGAGAAACCGAAAAATTCAAAATCGAAAATGTTAACAACTAAAACACTAAAACATCGACAAAATTTTAAAATCGAGAAATCGAAACATGAAAACTCGAAAAATTAAAATATTTGAAAATTAAAAATCGAACAATTTGGCAGATTTAAATATCGAAAAATTCCAAAAGTGAAACATCGAAAAACTGAAAAATGGATAAAAATTGAAGAATCGAAAAATTTTAAAGTCCAAAAACTGAAACATCGAAAAATTGAGAACTCAAAAATTAAAAAGTCGAGAAAAGTCGGACAATCGAAATCAAAAATTGAAAAATCAAAAACCCGAAAATTGGAAAACCGAAAAATTTTAAAACCGAAAAATTTGAGAAAGGTCCAAAAATTGAAGAATCGTAAAACTGAAACATCGAAAAATCGAAAAATCGAAAATTGAAAAAATCGAGAAATCCAAAAATTTGAAATTTTGAAGAATCTAGCGATTGAAGAATCGAAATTGGAAAATTCTAACACTGAAAAAAATTAAGTAAACGAAATACTGAAAATCGAGAAATCGAAAAATTGAAGATTAAAAAACTGAAAAATTGCAAACTGAGATAACTAAATAGAAAAACTGAAAGTTAAAAAACGAGGAATCGACAACTCGAAAAAAAGAAAAATTGAAAAATCTAAAACCTGAAAACTGAAAAATCGAAACATTGAAAAGTCGAGAAATCGATAAATAGCAAAATCAAAAAATCAGTTAAACGGGAAACTAAAAATCGAAAAAATGAAGATTTAGAAACGTCAAAAATTGAAAAATTGAAAAAGCTAGAAATTTTAAAACCGAAAAATTGATAAAACATTCGAAAAATTGAAAAATCGTAAAACTGAAACATCGAAAAAACGAGAAATCGAATAATGAAAAAATCGAGAAATCCAAAAATTTGAGATTTTTAAGAATGTAGCAATTGAAAAATCGAAATTGGAAAATCCTAACACTTAAATATCGAAAAATTAAGTAAAGGAAAAACTGAAAATCGAGAAATCGAAAAAATTAAATCCAGAAATGGAAACATCAAAAACCGATAAATTATTACAAATTTTTATTAAACTAAATTTTTAAATAACAATAAAATTTTCTCAACAATTTAGCTTCTCGGGAAGGTCAATAAATCATTTTTAATATTAATGATTTTTTCTAGTTTTTTTTCAGTGTACATTCTTTTACTATTTTTTCCAAAATTTCTTGATTTTTTTTAATATTTGTCTTTACATTATCTATTTTGCGAGACTGACTTTCGGAAAATCGAAAAATCAAAAATTTTAAAAACTGAAAAATCGAAATCGAATACTCACAAAATCCAAAATTTGAGCAATGCAAACATGAAGAAACCTAAAAATCGGAAAGTCGAGAAATTTTAAAAATCAAATAACCGAGATATCAAAAACCGAAATATCAAAAATCGTAAAATCAAAAATATGAAAAATCGAAAATCGAAAAATTGAAAAATCAAAAAACCAAAACATTAAAAAATGGAAAATTTCAGAAATACAAATTGAAAAATCGAGAAATCTAAAACCGACAATCGAAAAATCGAAACAGCAAAAAATTTAAAAATTCGAAAAATTGTTTTCAATCAAAAAATAAAAAATCTAAAAATTGAGAAACCGAAAAATTCAAAATCGAAAATGTTAACAACTAAAACACTAAAACATCGACAAAATTTTAAAATCGAGAAATCCAAACATGATTGAGATGATGACTCGAGAATTTAAAATATTTGAAAATTAAAAATGGAAAATTTGAAAAATCGAAAAATTTGGGAGATTTAAATATTGAAAAATTCCAAAACTGAAACATCGAAAAGTTGAGAACTCAAAAAATTAAAAAATCGAGGAAAGTGGGACAATCGAAATCAAAAATTGAAAAATCAAAAACATGAAAATTGGAAAATCGAAAAATTTGAGAAAGGTCCAAAAATTGAAGAATCGTAAAACTGAAACATCGAAAAATCGAAAATTGAAAAAATCGAGAAATCCAAAAATTTGGAATTTTGAAGAATCTAGCGACTGAAGAATCGAAATTGGAAAATTCTAACACTGAAAAAAATTAAGTAAACGAAATACTGAAAATCGAGAAATCGAAAAACTGAAATATCAAGAAATTGAGAAATCGAAAAATTGAAGATTAAAAAACTGAAAAATAGCAAACTGAGATAACTAAATTGAAAATCTGAAAGTTAAAAACCGAGGAATCGACAAGTCGAAAAATAGAAAAATAGAAAAATCTAAAACCTGAAAACTGAAAAATCGAAACATTGAAAAGTCGAGAAATCGATAAATAGGAAAATCAAAAAATCAGTTAAACGGGAAACTAAAAATCGAAAAAATGAAGATTTAGAAACGTCAAAAATTGAAAAATTGAAAAACCTAGAAATTTTAAAACCGAAAAATTGATAAAAGATTCGAAAAATTGAAAAACGTAAAACTGAAACATCGAAAAAACGAGAAATCGAATAATGAAAAAATCGAGAAATCCAAAAATTTTAAACTTTTAAGAATGTAGCAATTGAAAAATCGAAATTGGAAAATCATAACACTTAAATATCGAAAAATTAAGTAAAGGAAAAACTGAAAATCGAGAAATCGAAAAAATTAAATCACGAGATGGAAACATCAAAAACCGATAAATTATTACAAATTTTTATTAAACTAAATTTTTAAATAACAATAAAATTTTCTCAACAATGTAGCTTCTCGGGAACGTCAATAAATCATTTTTAATATTAATGATTTTTTCTAGTTTTTTTCAGTGTACATTTTTTTACTATTTTTTCCAAAATTTCTTGATTTTTTTAAATATTTGTCTTTACATTATCTATTTTGCGTGACTGACTTTCGGAAAATCGAAAAATCAACAATTTTAAAAACTGAAAAATCGATCTCGAATACTCGCAAAATCCAAAATTTGAGCTATCCAAACATGAAGAAACCTAAAAATCGGAAAGTCGAGAAATTTTAAAAATCAAATAACCGAGATATCAAAAACCCAAATATCAAAAATCGTAAAATCAAAAATATGAAAAATTGAAAATCGAAAAATTGAAAAGTCAAAAAACCGAAATATTAAAAAATGGAAAATTTCACAAATACAAATTGAAAAATCGAGAAATCTAAAACCGACAATCGAAAAATCGAAAAAGCAAAAAATTTAAAATTTCGAAAAATTGTTTTCAATCAAAAAATAAAAAATCTAAAAATTGAGAAACCGAAAATTCAAAATCGAAAATGTTAACAACTAAAACACTAAAACATCGACAAAATTGTAAAATCGAGAAATCGAAACATGAAAACTCGAGAAATTAAAATATTTGAAAATTAAAAATCGAAAAATTTGGCAGATTTAAATATTGAAAAATTCCAAAAGTGAAACATCGAAAAATTGAAAAATGGATAAAAATTGAAGAATCGAAAAATTTTCAAGTCCAAAAACTGAAACATCGAAAAATTGAGAACTCAAAAAATTAAAAAGTCGAGAAAAGTCGGACAATCGAAATCAAAAATTGAAAAATCAAAAACCTGAAAATTGGAAAACCTAAAAATTTGAGAAAAGTCCAAAAATTGAAGAATCGTAAAACTGAAACATCGAAAAATCGAAAAATCGAAAATTGAAAAAATCGAGAAATCCAAAAATTTGAAATTTTGAACAATCTATCGATTGAAGAATCGAAATTGGAAAATTCTAACAGTGAAAAAAATTAAGTAAACGAAATACTGAAAATCGAGAAATCGAAAAACTGAAATATCAAGAAATTGAGAAATCGAAAAATTGAAGACTAAAAAACTGAAAAATAACAAACTGAGATAACTAAATTGAAAAACTGAAAGTTAAAAAACGAGGAATCGACAAGTCGAAAATTTGAAAAATCTAGAACCTGAAAACTGAAAAATCGAAACATTGAAAAGTCAAGAAATCGATACATAAGAAAATCAAAAAATCAGTTAAACGGGAAACTAAAAATCGAAAAAATGAAGATTTAGAAACGTCAAAAATTGAAAAATTGAAAAATCTAGAAATTTTAAAACCGAAAAATTGATAAAAGATTCGAAAAATTGAAAAATCGTTAAACTGAATCATCTAAAAACGAGAAATCGAATAATGAAAAAATCGAGAAATCCAAAAATTTTAAATTATTAAGAATGTAGCAATTGAAGAATCGAAATTGGAAAATCCTAACACTCAAATATCAAAAAATTAAGTAAAGGAAAAACTGAAAAATCAAGAAATTTAAAAATCGAAAAATTGGAGATTAAAAAAATTTAAAAATATTAAAACTGGGATAACGAAAAATTGAGAAATCGAAAGTTGAAAAATCGAGAAATCCAAAGGCCGAAATCTCGGATATTTTAAAAATTGAGAAATTAAACACTGAGAAGGTGAGGAATCGAAAAATCGAAAAATCGAAGTCGAAAAATGGAAAAATTGAAAAATTAAAAACCTGAAAATCGAAAAATGAAAACTGAAAAATCGAAACATAGAAAATTGAGAAATCGAGAAATGAAAAAATCAAACCAAACGCGAAATCGAGAAATCGATAAATTGAAAAATCGAAACATGGGAACTTTCGAAAAGTCGAGAAGTGGAAAAAACGAAAAATTGAGAAATCGAAATAGGCCAAAATTGAAAAATGGAAAGATTTTAAATTAAAAAAATCGAAATTTCCAAAAATTGAAAAATCGAAAAATCGAAAAATTTAATAGTCAACAAATCGAAACATCTAAAACTCGATAAGTCGAGAAAAAGAAAAGTTGAAAAAATTAAAAACCGACAAATTGAAAAATTTAAAAATAGAAATTTCAAAATATGGAAAAATTGAAAAACTAGTCCAAAAATCGAAGTAACAAATAGCTGAAAAATTTAAAATTTAAAAATTGTTTTCAATCTACTAAACTAAAAAATCGAAAAATAGAAATCGAGAAACTCAATAACCTACAATTTTAAAAATCCAGAAATGGAAACATCAAAAACAGACATTAGTGATCACAAACATTTATTAGACTAAATTAAAACAAAAAAGTAGATATTTTATTAGCAATTTGGCTTCTCCGGAACACCAATGAATCATTTTTAATACAACCTGAACTTGCTCGCTGCGCTCGCATTCTGATTATGCTTTATTTAAATACATTTTTCATAAAATGTTTACTAATTGACCATCAACAGGTTTCTTCAAGTAATAATAAATTTATAGACATCCCTGTGAAGCTAAATTACTTTAAAAAATAAAACCAGAGAGTTTTATTTATATTTTTTATTTAAGTTTAAAATAACAGTACAATTTTTGTTCATAACTTGGCTTTAGCCTTAACCTTCACCTGAAAGACTAGTTCCAAACTGCGCCGCCATTGTTTCTAATCTTGGAGTCTAACTGCGCCGTATACTGCTGAGTACATTGTTAATAAAATTTTATTTTATTATTTCATCATTATTCCATTAAAGAAATGATTCTTTTACTACAGACGTTGACTTTAACTGAAAAAATGTTATTGTTGGTAACACAACAATGCGACGCGGCCAGCAATATCTCCAGACTTGAATCCACTCGATTATCAAGAACAAAGACTTCCGTAAAAAATAGTTATAATACCTAATTTGCATCAATATTAATTCCTAGAATAAAAGCCTGAAGCTAATTCAGACGTGTTCTATTATACAATAATTAAAAAAAAAAAACTATATCTATTTGGATCTCTTGTTTTTTTGTTTCGTTTTTTTTTTTTAATATTGATCACAGTTGTGATAATTTTAAAAAATTTCCAAAAAATAAAAAAAAATTCGCTGCGCACTTTGAGCACACAAACATAAATTACACCTAACACCTTTTTCGTGACCTACTTCACCAAAACCCGACCCTGACATTGAAGCAATCAAGTTCCACAAAAACAAACCATTTGATTTAATTTGACCAGTCGAAAACAACGCCTGTCAGATCTTATCGCGTTATATCACAGCCATAATCATAAACGGACTTTTGTTTACTGACCAAACGGTCTAATATAGCACGCTGACATTGACATTACCCATCACACCTGACGTCCCTTAGAATGTCGAAACCGTTCGACCGTGCTAATTGCACTTATGCAATGACAGATCATGTGTGTTCAGGTTGAGCCTGGATTAAACAATGTGTGATGGGTGTTGCGAAACGTTGGGAGCGACCATGAAGAATTCCCAGACTTGGTTATGGAAAGCACCTTCAGCGACGCGTTTATTGTGCTTAGGCATACCCAGAACGAGCGATAATCGTGCGTCGTGATAAAGAAAAGGGTCGGAAGTGGCACGCTTTGGTGCAGTACCGTGGTACTGCAATGGCATTGGAATTGAGCGTCCTGGAGTGGAAAAGTGGTACTTTCGGTGACGACAGTCTCGTGGTTTTCGCGACCGCACCGGTACCACCATGCCAAAGTACTTGCGTAGTACTTCCATTAATTCTTGCACAATGGAGTGTGTTTCGCTGTATTTTCGTATCAATTGCCTAAACGTGGTGAAATTCGAATAAAAATGGACAAGGGAATCCGACTGAAAGTAGACTGTGGTGATAAAACACCAAACCGAACGATGACCCTGTTTACATTATCACAGTTCCACTTTTACTATCTTCGGATATTGTGAGCGTTTCGTAATAGCTTCCTTAATTGTAACATTGGCATTCGTATTGTTCGTGCAATACGGGCCAAGTTTGTTATTAAACGTCGTTTTTCCCATAATTTGGACCAGGGGCTGGGAATGATGGGAAATTGTCGATGATTACAGAGCTTTGTCGTCAAAACGGTTATTAAAGTAAAAGCTTCCGAAATGGGTACTCAAAGCGTTGTGGAAAACTTTCTATGGAGTTTCGGTACGAGCGGTACTACAAAAGGACGATCAATTTTCGCGTGATTCCATTGGAATGATGCATTTCCTGCACCAAGTCATCCTTACTAAAGCAAGGTTGCACGCGAATAAATTAATAATCGCAATTAAACCGTTATTTCATAAGTGGAAGCTTCTCGGAAATGGGAAAAAATCGAGTACTTGAGGATGAAGAAAACGCTTCGAAAATCAAGGTTAATTAACAATGGGTAGACACTCCCTAATTTGTAGATTAAGTCGTGACTGGAGTCGAAGAGACGTTTTTATTAATGGTTTCGTCAGCTGCTAAATGTATCACTAGATCAGATCATTTATCGAATCATGGTTTATTATTTATGACACGATCTAGAATTAATCAAGAACAGAGATTATGTAATTGAGATTCTTTAGCATTTCTTGGATGAGACAAATTCAGTCATTGCTTCCACACCCAAGTTACACCTATTTCCCAAGAAATTATTTTTTATGATTAATAATAATAAGAAGACGCGGATAATTAAGTGTTCAAGGTACCTTTTTATTGTCTTATTTGTGTGTGTGTACGAAGTACCTCATTAACCCTCTTTTTCCTAAACAGGTGGTATTGTGTCAGAATTACTAATGTCGAATTTTGCTTGCAGCTCACAGCTCAGCAGGAATATTCCGACTTCCAACATGGAGTTTGGGAGCTGTTAAACAAGGTTGGGAGTCTCAATGTGCCAAATTCTGTTGTTGCAAGGCAGATTCGATATTTGTCGATAGTTGGTCCTGCTGCGCTTTCGCCGGATCAGCTGGATCGTGTAAGTATAAAAATGTTAAAATTCAAAATTGTTGAAAATGTTTCTGAAATGCTGTAGATTTTTTTTACTTTTAATTTTTTCATTTTTCAAGTTTTCGTTTTTTCAAATATTCGATTTGTAATTTTGATTTCTTCATTTTTTGTAATTTTTCGATTTTACAATTTTTCGGTATCTGAATATTTATTTCTTCAAATTTTCAACTTATGAATTCTTTACTTTTTTAGTCTCTAAATTTTTTGTTTGTTCAATTTTCCTCCGTGTCTTGATTGGCCGATTTTAAATTTTTCGATTTTTCAGATTTTCGCTTGTCTAATTTTTTCACTTTTGATTGATATTTTAATTCTCTTTTTTACGATTTTTTAATTTTCAGTTATTTGATTTGTCAATTTTTGGATTTCCCCATACTTTCAATTTCTCGATTTTTCAGTTTTTTGTTTTTTCAATTCTTTCGATTTTTTATTTTTCTATTTATCAGTTATTCAAATTTTCTTTTTTCGTTTTTTTTTCTATTTTTTGTCTTTTCGGTTTCCAATCTTCCGTTTTTATTTTTTTGTCTATTTTTTGGGTAATTCCATATGTTAGACAAAATGATGAATATTTTTTTCGTAGTAAAAGCATTTTCGATATTTTCATTTTTCGTTTCTTCAGTTTTAGGATTTTGCAATTTAGCGATTTTTCGATTTTTGAGTCTTCCGTTTTTTTATCAATTGTCAAGATTTTTAATTTTTTGACTTTCCTGATTTTTCAATTATTCCAGTTTCTGATTTTCTAGTTTTTCGATTTTTGATTTTTCAATTTTTCAAGTTTTCGTTGCTTCAGTTTGTGGAGTTTTCTCAATTTTCTTTCAGTTTTTTGTTCCTCCAGTTTTTCAAATTACAATTTTTGCGAATTTCTTGCTTTCTGGAGTTTAAACTTTCCGATTTTTCGATTTTTCGTTTTGTAATTACATATTCCATTTTTCGTTTCTCCTGTTTTTTATTATTGATTTTTAGGTTTTTCAGTTTTGTGTTAAATTTTTCTGATATTTTAATTTTACTCAGTTTTGAAATTTCATTTCTTCGGTTCTACGTTTTTCAATTTTTTTGATTTTGCAATTCTTTGATTCTTCAAATTCTCCCTTCTACGATTTTTCAATTTTTGTTTTTTGGCTTTTTCAGTTTTACGTTTTTCTATTTTAAAATTTTTCACTATTCCATATTCGATTTTTGATTTTTCGATATGCCGATTTTTGAATTTCCGGATTTTTTCAGTTTATAGATTTTTCAGTTTTTCATTTTTTCAATTTATAATTTTTAACTTTTGCTATTTCTACTCCTCAAATCCTCAAAACACCATAATCCTCAAATCCTTAGAACATCATAATCCTCAAATCAATTTTACAATTTTTAGATTCCGCGAAGTTTCAAATCAGGATTTTTTATTTTTCATTTTTTCAACTTTTGAAATTTTTAAATATTGTAAGTCTTTTAATTTTTGTTTCTTGGAATCTGCCACTTGCAATTTTTCAAGTTTTCACTTTTAGATTTTTAGTTTTATTTCGATTTTTTCCATTTTTCATTTCTCAATTTTTCAGTTTTTCATTTTGTAATTCCAGATCACAGTTTTCAATTCTCGATACTTAAATCTTTCACATTTTTTTAAAAGTTTTTCATTTTTTTGATTAGTCATTTTTTGGATTTTTCAATTTTCGATTTTTCAGTTAGTTGATTTTTGATTTTTCAAACTTTGAATTTTTTAGTTTTCGATTTTTGAATTGCTAGATTTTCCGCGCCTCCAATTTTTTCTGCTTTTAGATTTGTTGATTTTTGAATTGCTCAATTTTTCAATTTTTCCGGTTTTTCACCATTTTATTCCTATTTTTTCAGTTTTTCAATGTTTAATTTCTTCAATTTCATGTTTTCACAATTTTCCGATTTTTTATTTATTAGATTCTTCAATTTTATATTTCTTCGACTTTTGTATTTTTGATTAATTTGCTTTTTCAGTTTTCATTTTTTCAATTTTTTTGATTTTTTGATTTTTAGATTTTCAAATTCAGATTTTTCTCGATTCTCCCAATTTCTTGATTTTTCAATTTTTCAATTTCTCTTTTATTTTTCCATTTTTAAGCTTTGTGGTTTGCAATCTTTTGGATTTTCTTTTCAATTTTTTTTTTATTCAATTATTCCATTTTTCGCTTGTTCGTTATTCGATTTTTTGATTTGTCAAATTTGAATATATCAGTTTTTCGATTATTAATTTTTCGTTTTTCAATTTTTCCAATTTTCAGTCACTATACTCTTCAAGCTTTTCCTTCGAATTTTGGTATTTAGATTTTTCAAATTTTGATTTTTCGATATTCAATTTCGGGTTTTTCGATTTGGCGATTTTTGAATTTCTAGTTTCTTTCAATACCCCGATTTTTTGATCTTCTATTTATGTCATTCTAATTCACTTTTCTTCAATTTTTCCATTTTCAAGCTTTTCGATTTACAGCCGTTCGGTTTTTCGGTGTTTTATTCAGCTATCTCATTTTTAACTCTTTAAATTTCCAATTTTTCTATTCTTAATTTTCCATTTCTTCAATTTTTTGTTTTTACAATTTTCCGATGTTTCATGTATTAAATTCTTCAATTTTTCATTTCTCAAAATTTTCTACTTTTGACTTTTTCGCTTTTTCAGTTTTCATTTTTTTTATTTTTCGATTTATGGAGTTGTCGATTTCTGAATTTCTCGATTCTTTTAATTTCTTGGTTTGTCAATTTTTGGATTTCCTCATACTTTCAATTTCTCGATTTTTCAGTTGTTCGTTTTTTTCAATTCTTCCGATTTTTTATTTTCCTATTTATCAGTTATTCCAATTTTCTTTTTTTTTCGGTTTTTCTGGTTTTTTTATTTTTAATTTTTTCGATTTCCAGTTCCGTTTTTCTATTTTTTCTATTTTTTTAATTCTTAATTTTTTGGGTAATTCCAAATGTTACGGGAATGACAAAATGATGAATATTTTTTCGTAGTAAAAGCATTTTCGATATTTTCATTTTTTGTTTCTTCAGTTTTACGATTTTGCAACTTGGCGATTTTTCAATTTTTCAGTCTTCCGTTTTTTTATCAATTGTCAAAATTTTTCATTTTTTGACTTTTCCGATTTTTCAATTATTCCAGTTTCCGATTTACTAGTTTTTCGATTTTGATTTTTCAATTTTTCAAGTTTTCGTGGCTTCAGTTTGTGGAGTTTTCTCAATTTTCTTTCAGTTTTTTGTTCCTCCAGTTTTTCAAATTACAGTTTTGAGTTTTTCAATTTTTGCGAATTTCTTACTTTCTGGATTTTCGATTTCTCGTTTTGTAATTACATATTCCATTTTTCGTTTCTCCTGTTTATTTATTATTGATTTTTAGGTTATTCAGTTTTGTGTTAAATTTTTCTGATATTTTAATTTTACTCAGTTTTGAAATTTCATTTCTTCAGTTCTACGTTTTTCAATTTTTTTGATTTTGCAATTCTTAGATTCTTCAAATTCTCCCTTCTACGATTTTTCAATTGTTGTTTTTTTGGCTTTTTCAGTTTTACGTTTTTCTATTTTAAAATTTTTCACTATTTCATATTCGATTTTTGATTTTTCGATATGCCGATTTTTGAATTTCCCGATTTTTTCAGTTTATAGATTTTTCAGTTTTTCATTTTCTCAATTTATAATTTTTAACTTTTGCGATTTTTATTCCTCAAATCCTCAAAACTCCATAATCCGCAAATCCTTAGAACATCATAATCGTCAAATCAATTTTCCAATTTTTAGATTCGGCGACTTTTCAAATTAGGATTTTTTATTTTTCATTTTTTCAACTTTTGAATTTTTTAAATATTTTCAGTCTTTTAATTTTTGTTTCTTGGAATCTGCCACTCGCAATTTTTCAAGTTTTCACTTTTAAATTTTTAGGTTTTTTTTTCAATTTTTTCCATTTTTAATTTCTCAGTTTTTCAGTTTTTCATTTTGTAATTCCAGATCACAGTTTTCAATTCTCAATACTTAAATTTTTCACTTCTCCGATTTTTAAGTTTTTCAATTTTCCGATTAGTCATTTTTTGGATTTTTCAATTTTCGATTTTTCAGTTAGTTGATTTGTGATTTTTCAAACTTTGAATTTTTTAGTTTTCGATTTTTGAATTGTTATATTTCCCGCGTCTTCAATTTTTTCCATTTTCGACTTTTGATTTTTTCTGTTTTTAGATTTGTTGACCTTTGAATTGCTCGATTTTTCAATTTTTCCGATTTTTCACTGTTTTATTTCTATTTTTTCAGTTTTTCAATGTTTAATTTCTTCAATTTTATGTTTTCACAATTTTCCGATTTTTTATTTATTAGATTCTTCAATTTTTTATTTCTTCGACTTTTGTATTTTTTGTTTATTTGCTTTTTCAGTTTTCATTGTTTCAATTTTTTTGATTTTTTCATTTTTAGATTTTCAAATTCAGATTTTTCTTGATTCTTCCAATTTCTTGATTTTTAAATTTTTCAATTTCTCTTTTTTTCCCACATTTAAGCTTTTTGGTTTGCAATCTTTCGGATTTTTTTTTTCAATTTTTTTCTTATTTCATTTTTCGCTTGTTCGTTATTCGATTTTTCGATTTGTCAAATTTGAATATTTCAGTTTTTCGATTATTAATTTTTCGTTTTTCAATTTTTCCAATTTTCAGTCACTATATCCTTCAAGCTTCTCCTTCGAATTTCGGTTTTTAGATTTTTCAAATTTTACTTTTTCAAATTTTGATTTTTCGATATTCAATTTTGGGTTTTTCGATTTGGCGATTTTTGAATTTCTCGTTCCTTTCAATATCCCGATTCTTTAATCTTCTATTTATGTCATTCTAATTCACTTTTCTTCAGTTTTTTCATTTTCAAGCTTTTCGATTTACAGCCGTTCGGTTTTCCAGTGTTTCTATTCAGCTATCTCATTTTTAACTTTTTAATTTTCCAATTTCTCAATTTTTAATTTTCCATTTCTTCAATTTTTTTGTTTTTACAATTTTCCGATTTTTCATGTATTAAATTCTTCAATTTTTCATTTCTCAAAATTTTCCATTTTTGATTTTTTCGCTTTTTCAGTTTTCATTTTTTTTATTTTTCGATTTTTGGAGTTGTCGATTTCTGAATTTCTCGATTCTTTTAATTTCGTGATTTTTCAATTTTTCGATTTCTCGTTTTTTCTATTTGTTATTCCAATTTTTTTTTCTTGGATTTTTCCATATTTAAGTTTGTCGGTTTGTGATCTTTCGGCTAGCTTTTTTAATTTTTATTATTCAATTACCAATCCATTTTTCGCTTGTTAGTTATTCGATTTTTCGCTTTTCAATTTTCCCATTTTTTAGTTACTAGATTATTCAAGTTTTGGCTTCGAGTTTTAGTTGTTTTGATTTTTCAAATTTTGATTTTTCGATATTCAATTTTGGGTTTTTCGATTTGGCGATGTTTGAATTTTCAATACCCCGATTCTTTAATCTTCTATTTATGTCATTCTGATTCACTTTTTTTCAGTTTTCAAGCTTTTCGATTTACAGCCGTTCGGTTTTCCAGTGTTTTTATTCAGCTATTTCATTTTTAACTCTTTAATTTTCCAATTTTTCAACTTTTAATTTTCCATTGCTTCAATTTTATGTTTTTACAATTTTCCGATTTTTCATGTATTAAATTCTTCAATTTTTCATTTCTCAAAATTTTCTATTTTTGATTTTTTCGCTTTTTCACTTTTCATTTTTTTTTCGATTTTTTGAGTTGTCGATTTCTGAATTTTCGATTCTTTTAATTTCTTGATTTTTCAATTTTTCGATTTCTCGTTTTTTTAATTTGTTATTCCCATTTTTTTTTTCTTTAATTTTTCCATATTCAAGTTTTTTGGTTTGTGATCTTTCGGCTAACTTTTTCAATTTTTATTATTCAATTACCTACTCCATTTTTCGCTTGTTAGTTATTTGATTTGTCGTTTTTCAATTTTCCCATTTTTTAGTAACTAGATTATTCAACTTTTCGCTTCGAGTTTTAGTTGTTTTGATTTTTCAAATTTTGATTTTTCGATATTCAATTTTGGGTTTTTCGATTTGGCGATTTTTGAATTTCTCGTTGCTTTCAATACCCCGATTCTTTAATCTTCTATTTATGTCATTCTAAATCACTTTTCTTCAGTTTTTCCTTTTTCAAGCTTTTCGATTTACAGCCGTTCGGTTTTCCAGTGTTTTTATTCAGCTATCTCATTTTTAACTCTTCAATTTTCCAATATCTCAATTTTTAATTTTCCATTTCTTCAATTTTTTGTTTTTACAATTTTTCGATTTTTCATTTCTCAAAATTTTTTGTTTTTGATTGTTTCGCTTTTTCAGTTTTATTTTTTTTTATTTTTCGATTTTTGGAGTTGTCGATTTCTGAATTTCTCGATTCTTTTAATTTCTTGATTTTTTAATTTTTCGATTTCTCGTTTTTTCTATTTGTTATTCCATTTTTTTTTCTTTAATTTTTCCATATTTAAGTTTTTTGGTTTGTAATCTTTCGGATAGCTTTTTCAATTTTTGATTTTTCGATTTGGTAATTTTTGAATTTCTCGTTTGTTTCAGTAGCCCGATTTTTCAATTTTCTATTTATGTCATTCTCATTCTTTTTTCTTCGGTTTTTCCATTTTCAAGCTTCTCGATTTACAGTCGTTCGATTTTCCAGTGATTTTTTATTCAGATATCCTATTTTTGACTCCTTAATTTTTCGTTTTTGGAGTTATACGATTTTTCAGTTATTCGGTTCTTCTATCTTTTGAATTTTTCGATTTTTCTAATTCTGAATATTTAAATTCAAGTTCAATATGTTATTATAACATTTTAGGCTCTCAAGTTGGAATGCTCAATCAAGATAGTGTCCCAATTTTGAAATTTAAAAACATGTAAAATCTAAAAACGAAGAGTAACCAGTTTTATTTGATTAAAATTATTAAAAAAAGATCCCGTGACTCAAAATATATTGTTTATTTATTAGGGCAAACATTTAAATGAAATAAATAAAACTGATGATGTTTTGTGTGTAAATTTAAATTGTACGTCAGTGAGCTATATAAGGATTATTTTTTCTCAACTTGTAAAGGTCAGTTTTGTACGTTCTTTGATAATTAATCACCTCATTATCTTATAGCTGTAGTTGTATAGAAAAATCAAAATCTGTGTATGGTAAACACTACTAACTAACCAGTTCAGTACGATAAAAACACGCTGCTGATTTCTGTTGGATAGGCAACCCAATAAACACTCCAGTGTAGAAAACTGTCTACATCAAACACCAACAAATCCAACACGGAATACAAACAGAATTAATTAAATACGTGCCTGTCATGTTGTTTAAATGTTTATATTGGCATTCTAGCACACGTACATTACATCTTTATTACAATAATAATAACAATAACAATAATAACATATACGATGGACACTTTTCGGAACCAAAACCTTTTACATTCTCTAAATTGAGAACGGACATTTCCACACTTCATATACCGCTCTACAAAAAATAATAACCGTTCACGCGTTACATCCTCCTGCACCCACATCATCTCATTTCTTCAGACACTTCACTTTACCATTACTCGATGTGTTTACGATCACATTCACTTTCGGGCACGTTCAAAGCAAATTACATTAATTACTCTCACCATTGGCTCCAAAGAACGAAATACATAAACACAACGCAGATCTACGGAAAACTCCTGCATTGCGCAATGGCAAAAAATCTTAATTTCTTTTTAATTTACACAAGAAGTGTCGTTAAAATCACAAAAAGGCGTTCAGCGCTTGAGGGAACGGTTAATGAGAGAAGTGGCGTGTTCGTGAAGATTATGCTAATGTCACTGATTTTTACAGGAAATAACAATAGGTGTGGAGCCTTGCGTAATTTTTTTTTTGTTTTAGTATAACAGATTGATCAACGACATGCTGGCTGTGTACAACAGCGCTTCAATTTGCGCCCTCAAGGAGCCCTTCCGGTGCGGGCTGCGCCTGCAGCCGGACCTGACCAACATCATGGCCTACAGCCGGAACTGGGACGAACTCCAGTACACCTGGACGGAGTGGAGGAGGAACACGGGACAAAATATCAAAGACACGTTCGAGCAAATGATTAGTTTGTCGAACGAGGCAGCCAAGTTGAACAGTAAGTCGTGGATTAGTTTTTGTGAAAGTGCTCGATTTTTCTACGATCGAGTAATTTATGGCTGCGGTTGCATAATGGCTTCATTCATTGCTGGAAAATGATTGCCCTGGCCGCAACTGGCGCTACAGATAAAATTACATAAAGGCAAACATATGCAACTCGCCTGAAACTAGTATAATGAACTTAACTTTCATTGTGATTTCCTGTCGGGTTACATTATTAATAATTGCGCTATTGCAAGATCTACGACTAATAAAGAAATCTTATTGTGCTCGCTCTTCAAACGAGACAATTTTATCGATCATTAGTGATTGCTACAACAAAACGAGTTTCACTTTCAGTACTAATTGGATGCGATGATAAATGCCCGGAACGAACCCGAAAACGTCGAAAGGCGCTGAAAATTTGTGTGGGTTGGAAACACAATAACAAAGCTGTTACTTCGGGGTATTTCTAAATTTGGGTATACAGATTGTTAAGCCATTTATTTCAAAAAATATATAACTATACGTTCTGATATGCATACGTATTTGTTGTACTCCTGAAACGAGGAAAGTTCTCTGTGAATGATTTTGACGTTTTTATAATGAGTCTGTTATTCACACTTTGCTAACTTTGTCAAACTCAAATACAAGAAATTAGAAAAATAAATCAAACAAAATCAATCCCTTTTCAATTGATATTATTTATTGCACGTATCACATATGTGGTCTGTGTTTACAAGGAGATAAAATTTTAATAAGGTTTACAGTCGTCTTTATAGCTGTCTATACTTTCACCTGACGTATTTATTTCATTTCAATTACTAAAATTAATAAATAATTCAATGTACTGTAGCACGAGCTAAATGTTTAATATTAAAACAAATCCTGGTCGAAAATTTGAGAAAAATAATTATTTTGGAATTTTTCCCGAGTTTTTAATTCCAACTCGATTTGGCGATTTATTTCCTTTTTTAATTTTCACGATTTTCAATTTTTGTTTCGTTTCACCGATTTTTTATTACTGATTTTTTAAGTTTTTTCAGTTTTCCCCTTGAACTTTTTGTGATATTTTAATTTTTAGATTTCGACAATTTAATTTTTCAGTTTTTCGATTTTTCGATTTGTCAATTTTTGAATTTATCGTTTTTTACACATGGTTCGAATTTAAATTTTTTGGTATTTTAGTTTCTCGATTCTTAATTTTTCATTAAGATAAGTACTTCAATTTTACCTCTTTGCACTTCTTCGATTTTTCGATTATTAGATTCATTAATTTTTGGCTTCTCCGATTTTTCCTTTTTTCTTTTCCAGTTTTTAGTTTTTTCAATTTTTTGCATCCTTAATTTTCGATTTGTCGATTTGTAAACTTTCGAATTTGTCGATTTTATTTTTTTTTTGTTCGATTTTTCGATTTTTGGATTTTGGAACTTTCGATTTTTCGATTTCTCGACTTCCTGATTTGTCGATTTTCGACTTCTCAATTTTTCGTTTTTTCGATTTGTCGATTTCTAGATTTCTCGAATTCTCGATTTTTGTAATTCTCAATATATCGATTGTTTGATCTTTTGATTTCTAGATTTTTCAATTTTTCAGATTATTACAATTTCGATTTTTCGATTGTTTCATTTTGGATATTTGAATTTTTCGGATTTTGAATTTTCTATTTGCGGATTTTAGATTTCTGGATTTTACATTTTCGAAATCTGGATTTCTCGATTTTTGAGTTTACGAATTCTCGAATTTTAGTTTTTTCGTTCTTCGATTTGTCGATTTAACAATTTCTTGATGTCTCGAATTCTAGAGTTCTGGATTTTTTGTATTTTTATTTTTGTTTTTTTATTATTTTATTTTTAGATATTTAATTTTTTGATTTTTCTAATTCCCAATTTTTCGATTTTTCAATCTCTGGATTTTTCGATTTTCGATTTTACGATTTCTTGATTTCTCGAATTCTCGAATTCTCGATTTTTTTTATTTTTACATTTCCGATTTTTCGATTGTTTATAAATTTTCGTCTGTCCGATTTTTCAAATTCTCAATTTTTCGATTTTTGATTTGTCGATTTCTCAATTTTTCAATTTTTTTATTTTCCGCATTTGTACTTTTTAAATTTTCGATATTTCGATTTTCCAATTTTCAATTTTTCGTTTTTTCGAGTTGTCAGTTTTCGTTTTTTTTTACTTTTTGAATGTTCGATTCTCATTTTTTCGATTGCTTGATTTCTCGAATTCTCGACTTTTTGATATTTTGATTATTCAATTTTTGGATTTTTTCAGTTTTCAATTTTTAATTTTTGTATTTACAATTTCTGGAACTTTGGATTATTCGAATTTTTAATTTTTCGATAATTTCGATTATTCGAACTTTGAATGTTTCGTCATTTCGTTTGTTTGCTTTTTCGATTGTTTGATTTTTCAATTTCTCGATTTTCTGGACTTTTGCATTTTCACATTTCGATTTTATAATTTTACGGATTTTCGATTTTTTCTTTTTTCGATTTTTCGATTTCTCGATCTTCCATTGTTCGATTTCTATCCATATCTCAATTTTTTCATTTTTTGAACCTTGACTTCTTGAATTTTTCAATTTTCGATTGTGCGATTTTTCGCTTTTTAATTATTCGATATTTGATTTCTCGATTTTTCGAATTCTCAATTTTTCGTTTTTTCGATTTGTCGATTTCTAGATTTCTCAAATTCTCGATTTTTGTAGTTCTCAATATTGCGATTGTTTGATTTTTGATTTCTACATTTTTCAATTTTTCAGATTATTACAATTTCGATTTTTCGATTGTTTCATTTTGGATATTTGAATTTTTCGGATTTTGAATTCTCAATTTGCGAATTTTCGGTTTCTGAATTTCTAGATTTCTGAGTTTATAAATTTTCGCCTTTCCGATTTTTCAAATTCTCAATTTTTTGATTTGTCGATTTCTCAATTTTTCAATTTTTTTATTTTCCGCATTTGTACTTTTTAAATTTTCGATTTCGCGATTTCTCGATTTTCCAATTTTCAATTATTCATTTTTTCGAGTTGTCGGTTTTCGTTTTTTTTATTTTTTGATTGTTCGATTCTCGTTTTCCGGATTCCTTGATTTCTCGAATTCTCGGTTATCGACTTTTTGATATTTTGATTATTCAATTTTTCGATTTTTTCAGTTTTCAATTTTTTATTTTAGGATTTACAATTTCTGAAACTTTCGATTATTCGAACTTTGAATGTTTCGTCATTTCGTTTGTTTGCTTTTTCGATTGTTTGATTACTCAATTTCTGGATTTTCTGGCCTTTTGCATTTACACATTTCGATTTTACAATTTTACGGATTTTCGATTATTTCTTTTTTCGATTTTTCGATTTCTCGATCTTCCATTGTTCGATTTCTATCTATATCCCAATTTTTTCATTTTTTGAACCTTGACTTTTTGAATTTTTCAATTTTCGCATTTTTGGTGTAACGTCTTTTCGATTGTGCGATTTTTCGCCTTTTAATTATTCGATATTTGATTTCTCGATTTTTCGAATTCTCAATTTTTCGTCTTTTCGATTTGTCGATTTCTAGATTTCTCGAATTCTCGATTTTTGTAATTCTCAATATTTCGATTGTTTGATTTTTGATTTCTAGATTTTTCAATTTTTCAGATTATTACAATTTCGATTTTTCGATTGTTTCATTTTGGATATTTGAATTTTTCTGATTTTGAATTCTCAATTTGCGAATCTTCGATTTCTGAATTTCTAGATTTCTCAGTTTATAAATTTTCGTCTTTCCGATTTTTCAAATTCTGAATTTTTTGATTTGTCGATTGCTCAATTTTTCAATTTTTTTATTTTCCGCATTTGTACCTTTTAAATTTTCGATTTCGCGATTTCTCGATTTCCCAATTTTCAATTATTCATTTTTTCGAGTTGTCGGTTTTCGTTTTTTTTATTTTTTGATTGTTCGATTCTCGTTTTCCGGATTCCTTGATTTCTCGAATTCTCGCTTATCGACTTTTTGATATTTTGATTACTCAATTTTTGGATTTTTTCAGTTTTCAATTTTTTATTTTTGGATTTACAATTTCTGGAACTTTCGATTATTCGAATTTTTAATTTTTCGAAAATTTCGATTATTCGAACTTTGAATGTTTCGTCATTTCGTTTGTTTGCTTTTTCGATTGTTTGATTACTCAATTTGTCGATTTTCTGGCCTTTTGCATTTTCACATTTCGATTTTACAATTTTACGGATTTTCGATTTTTTCTTTTTTCGATTTTTCGATTTCTCGATCTTCCATTGTTCGATTTCTGTCTATATCTCAATTTTTTCATTTTTTGAACCTTGACATTTTGAATTTTTTAATTTTAGCATTTTTGGTGTATCGTCTTTTCGATTGTTCGATTTATCGCTTTTTAATTATTCGATATTTGATTTCTCATTTTTCCATTTTTTAATTTTCCGATTTTTGACTTTTCGGTTTTTCATTTTTTTTTCAATGTCTTTGATTTTCAATTCTTTTAAATTTTTAAATTCTGATTTTTCAGTTTCAAAATTTTTCAATTCAGCATTCTGAATTTCAACTTCGATTTTTTGAAATTTTTTGATATTTAATTTTTCGAATTTTTTGGATTTTCTATTTTCCGAATTTTTACTTTTTTAAATTTTCGATTTTTCTGTTTTTTCAGTTTTCGAATTCTCGATTTTTGACTTTTTCGGTTTTTTGTTTTTTTTTCAATTTCTTTGATTTTTCAATTTTTAGATTTTTAAATTCTGATTTTTCAGGTTTAACATTTTTCAGTTTTTCGATTTGTCCTTTCATTTTTCGAATTCCCAATTTTTCGTTTCTTTTTTGATTTGTCGGTTTTTGATTGTTCGATTTTCCAGTTTTTCGATTTTCGCTTTCTCTATTTCTTTAGCTCTTGAATTCTCTATTCCTTGATTTTTTAATTTTTCGAATTTTTGCCTTTTCAATTGTTTCATTTTTGGTTTTTTCGATTTTCCAGTTCTCAATTTCTCCATCTTACGATTTTCCGAATTTTTACGTTTTCGAATGTTCCATTTTTCGGTTTTGCGAATCTTCGATCTTTCAGTTGTTTTCATTTTTCGATTTCTCAATTTTTGACTTTCAGTTTTTCAGTTTCTTCCAATTTCCTTGATTTTGCAGTTCTTAGATTTTTAATTCTGATTTTTCAGTTTTAAATTTTTCGATTTTTCGATTAGTCATTTCTATTTCGAATTCTTACTTTTTAGTTTTTCGAAAACGTAGAAATTCCAAAAATCGAAAAATCGAGAAATTGAGTTAGAAAATCGGATATTGTAAATCGTGAAATCTAAATTTTCAACATTCGATGTTTCAACATTCCGATTTTTCGTTTTTTCGAGTTGTCGATTTTTCGATTGTTCAATTTTTCAATTTTTTGATTGTTCGATTATCGTTTTCTCGAATTCTCGATTCCTCGATTTTTCGAATTTTTATTATGTAGATTTTTTGATTGTTTCATTTTTGGATTTTTTGGTTTTTGAATTCTCAATTTTTGGATCTTTAGTTTTTTCCAATTTTTAATTTTTCGAAAAGTTCGATGTTTCGTTATTTATTTTTTCGATTGTTTGATTTTCGATGTCTCAATTTTTCATTTTTTTGAATGTTCACTTTTCGATTTTTCAATTTAAAATTTTTCGATTTCTCGATTTTTTATTTTTTGATTTTTCGTTTTCTAATTTTTCCATATTTGATTTGTCGATTTTTCAATGTTATTCATTTCGCGATTTTTCGATTTTTGACTTTTTCGGCTTTTCAGTTTTTCAGTTTTCTTGATCTTTCAGTTTTTAGATTTTTAAATTTTGAATTTTCAATGTTTGTGTTTCAAAATTTTTCTATTTTTGATTTTTTTATTTGTCGATTACTTTATTCAATTTTTACTTTTTATTTTTCGATTCTAGATTTCTCGAATTTAGATATTCAATTTTTCAAATGGCCAATTTTTCATTTTTTTGATTTGTTAATTTTTCGATTGTTTGATTTTTCAATTTTTCAATTGTTTCATTCTTAGTTTTTTCGGTTTTTCGATTCTCGATTTCTCGATCTTTCGATTTTTCGGATTTTCGATTTTTTGTTTTTTGATTTTTCGCTTTTAAATTTTTCCATATTTGATTTTTCGATTTTTCGATTTGTTGGATTTTCAATTTTTCGGTTTTTCGACTTTTTGTTTTTTCAATTGTTCGATTTTTGCGATATTTGATTTTACGACTTTTATAATTCTCAATTTTTGGAATTTTCGAATTTTCATCTTTTACATTTTTTGAGTTTTCGATTTTGTATTTTCTGTTTTTCATTTTTTTTTTCAATTTTCTTGATTTTTCAATTCTTAAATTTTAAAATTTTGATTTTTCCGTGTTTGGGTTTTAAAATTTTTTGATTTTCGGTACAATTTTCGAATTTTCGATTTGTCAATTTATGAAAATTTCGATGAGTTGAAACTTACAATAAATCAGTTACCTCAAATTTTATTTAATTTTATGAAATGATTGTATGCAATAATAATGTCAATAATATTAATAAGAATTATTGTCTGTGAGGGTGCTAACTTAGTACAGGACCGGTCTTTAAATTTTGAAACTTTATTTGTGAACAACCCAGCAACAAATATTTATATACATATAGATTATAGATAGATGGATAAAGAGATATAAATACGGGTCATCATCTAATAGTCGAAACTTTGAAAAAAAAAAAGTAATTTTAAAGATTTTCATTTTCAATAACTAAAAAAATTAAGGTTGAAATTTTACATCATTAATTGAATTATTTATTATCCTTAACGAAAATAAGCCTTTCTTCAACATAAAAATATCTAAAAAAATAATTTAGACATAAAATTTTAACAAAATTTATAGAATTCAGAGTTCACGCAAACTCGACAAGCTCTAAAAAAGTATGTAGTTAAATAAAAAAATTGTTAACTAATTAGACAACTTTTTCTAGTTAATCATAATAATGTAAAATACGCTCAAGGAAAACTATGTATATTTTTTCTTGTGCATGTAATAAGCGATAATAGACTTCTTATCAAGGTCTACAGTCGTCTTTATTGACTTCTGCATGTTGACCTGACACCTCATTATTTCATTCCAAGTACATACAATCAAAGTTCATAAATTTCTGTTCTAAATCTACGACTGACACTGCTACAATCATAAACATACATAAAACTCCCTGACGCAAATCCGCCCTTCCAAAACCCTCTTTAACCTTCTCATCACATTTATCCCACCAGACTTCTCGGACACCTCCGACTACTGGAGCTTCCCCTTCGAGTCCGCCACCCTCAGCCTCGACCTCGAGGACGCCTGGGAGGACGTCAAGCCCCTGTACGAGCTCCTCCACGCCTACGTCAGACGCCGCCTCCGCGACTACTACGGCCCCGAAAAACTCAACAGACAGGCGCCCCTCCCGGCCCACGTCCTCGGCAACATGTGGGCCCAATCCTGGGTCAACATCTTCGACATAAGCCAGCCCTACCCTGGCCAGCACTTCCTCGACGTCAGCCCAGAAATGCTGAAACAAGTGAGTGTTGCGCAATCCTTACGTCACTAGTTTGTCACGTTCGGTACACATCCGTACCAGCAATCATCTTCATAGAATCGGAAGCTACGCACACAAAAATAAAAAGTGAAAGCGGCAGTAAAACTCGCACTTTTGAACCGCTTAATTGGTGTGCACTGAAAAATATAACAGCAGTCGATATGGAATTTGAAAGTGAAGGCTGGTGATGGGTTGGCGGGAAATGGACGATTGCTTATTTTGTCAACAACAACAACAACATGTAAACAGTTTAGGAAAAAAACCCATTTTGTGATACGTAATATGTATACGTAATTTCTCGACGTTTTGTAGCTCCTAGAGCGTGAAAAAATAGGTCTTCTTTTTAAATGTTACAGGGTTACACCTCTCTGGACGTGTTCAGGCTAGCCGAGGACTTTTTCGTGTCTATGAACATGAGTGCCATGCCTCTCGAATTCTGGCAAACCTCGGTCCTGGAGGAACCCGTCGACAGGGTCGTCCTCTGCCAGCCCTCCGCCTGGGACTTTTGCAACCGCAGGGACTTCAGGTACTACCACAAACCCCTTCATTGTGATACCAAACCCATCAAACCCATTTCAGGATCAAAATGTGCACCAACATCAACATGAAGGACCTCATCACGGCCCACCACGAGATGGCCCACATCCACTACTTCATGCTGTACAAGAACCAGCCCAAGGTCTTCCGAGACGGCGCCAACCCAGGTGAGCGTCCATTGGGTTTAGAAACCACGATGAAAGTGCGTTTTATAGCTTTGGTGTTTTGAATAAAAGTGCAACCGGTAGCTGACCATTTTTTGTTTGTTTTGATGGGTGTCGAAGTTTCACTGCGTTGCATGGACGAATTTGAATTTAATTAGGTGGTCAGTCACCTCAAACAGGCTCCGATTCAGATTTTCTCACACTTGAGCAGGTTTCGCCCGTTTTGGTAGCAACCGCCCGAGTCTCGAAAGGTAACCATGCCGGAAGGAGAAAATGATCGAAGGAATTGTTCTATTCGGGAGTTTAGAAATCGTGCGACAAGTGGACTCATCTCTGGAGAAAAATCTGGCACGCAACATTAGTCTATTAATCAAAGTGAAAACGATATAATTATAATAAAATCTTTTTTGTTGTTTCTACTTTTCTTCGTTATCTCGGCGTGTGTCCATTAAGACGCAAATTAGTACCTTTCATCTGAAATATCGGGCTTTGTTTGAGCTAGTTTCACGAAAACGGGCAAAAAAACAGTAATCACTCCAATTTAGCGTAAAAACTAGTAATTGCTATAATTGGTACCACGGCGAGTACTGGCTCAGTTTGGATTTGTTTTGAAGTCAGGTTTAATTGGTAGTACCAGATCCACTATAAAATCAAGAGTTGTGAAAAGTACTCAACAATTTGCATTCCTGTCACTCATGCGGGTTCCTGCAAACTCAACGGTACCATCTCATCAAAGCGAATAAATTCAGTGAAAGTGCGCATATAGACCGTGCGTAACTTTCTTAATACGTTTAATTAAGGCGAAACGCTTGAGAGCAATAATTACATGGAATTTATTCCAGCGTTTCACGAAGCCATCGGTGAAGCTATCGGTCTTTCGGTCGGTACCCCCAAACACCTACAAAGTTTGGGTTTGGTCCAAAATTCCGTCGAAGACTCAGCCGTCGATATCAACTTCCTTTACTCCATGGCACTCGACAAGGTCGTCTTCTTGCCCTTCGCGTACGTCGTGGATAAGTGGAGGTACGACGTCTTCAAAGGAAACATAGGGAAGGATCAGTACAACTGCCACTGGTGGCGCCTGAGGTACTACTCAAAAATCGACATTCGCGCACTAAATTTGTGCTTTCAGCGAGCAATACATGGGGATCAAACCCCCGGTTCTGCGGTCAGAGAGGGACTTTGACCCCGGCGCTAAGTACCACATTCCAGCCAACATCCCCTACTTAAGGTAAGCACGAAAACGACTCAGTAATAGAAAATCTGTTTTAATAACAAACATCACATAAAAGCAAACAGGTAATACTGATAAGAGTAAAAAAGTACAAAAGAGATACTAACTAATAACCACCATGGCCGCCTCCGCTTAATTCATGGCCTCCTAGTTGAATTTGGCCACCGAAATCATGACCGCCTCCTAACCCCTGTCCGCCCCCTAAATCATGTCCACCTGAACCTTGGCCGCCGAAATCGTGTCCTCCTCCGATTTGGCCACCGAAATCGTGTCCTCCTCCGGATTGGCCACCGAAATCGTGTCCTCCTCCGGATTGGCCACCGAAATCATGACCACCTCCGCCGATTTGGCCACCGAAATCATGACCACCTCCGCCGATCTGGCCACCGAAATCATGACCACCTCCGCCGATCTGGCCACCGAAATCTTGTCCTCCGCTCTGTCCCCCAAAGTCGTGCCCGTGTTCTTCATGCACGGGTACGGCCACTGGTACTTTGACTGGCACAGGCACGGGTTTAGTGACCTCCACTGGTACTTTCTTGTGGACCACGAACGGCACGGGGTTGAAAATGGGGATTTTCACCGGATAAGGTACTGGTTTTTCCACTGGTACTGGAATGTTCTTCTCTACGGGGTAAGGCACAGGTACTGGTACTTTTACTGGGACGGGCTCTGGCTTCTCGACGGGGTAAGGGATGTGTCTATCCACTGGTATTTTGACTGGATAGGGTACCGGCTTGTGTACTGGGTACGGGATTTTCTTGATGATGTGCACGGGGTATGGTTGCGGGATGTGAACTGGGTACGGCCTGTCTACTTTTACTTCGACTGGGTAGGGTACGATCTTCTCCACTGGGTACGGTTTGGGTACGTGCACTGGTATTTTGACGGGGTAAGGGATTTCTTTTTCCACGGGGTAGGGTTGTGGGACGTGGACTTTGTACGGTACGTGGATGGTCTTCTCAACTGGATAGGGTTGAGGTACTAGTACTTTGACGGGGTAGGGTTTATCCACGTGGACTTTGACAGGGACGTGCACGGGTTTCTCCACGGGGTAGGGTTTGTGGATGGGTACGGGGACCTTGACGGGTACTTTGACGGGTACTGCCACCTTCTTCTCGACGGGGTAGGGTTGTGGCACGTGCACCGTGATCGGATAGGGTACTTTTTTCTCCACGGGAACTGGTACTTCTTTCACGACGGGGTAGGGTTGAGGCACGTTTTTCACCACAGTGACGGTCTTGACGTGGTGTTCGTGTCCGTGTCCTTCGTATCCGCCGCCGCCGCCGCCGCCGCCGCCACCGTATCCCAGATGGAGACCGCGCTTATCCTTCTTCCCGGACTCGACGGCTTTGCCTTCGCTGTTGCCTTCAGCGCTTGCCAAGACCAGAAGCGCGCAAAGCGCTGAATAACCCTGAAATGACAATATGAGTTCACTGCATCGTCCATATGGCGAGTTTCACTTCACTATCACTTACCAGGAACTTCATTGCCGCACGTTTAGTTTTTGAGTCCGACTGTGCTATCCGGCAGAGGCGGATTGTACTTTTATAGGAGCTTCCACACTTTCGCTGTAAGGGGGGTCCGACACACACACAAAACACCCTCCTTCCTCGAAAGTACGAGCACATCATTAACTAATGGTATCGGAGGAGCTCGGTGACCTTCAAAGTCGCAGATTTTTGACAAAGTCTATTGTAACGGTGACCTGGATCAGTACCGAGGAGTACCGATAACCACGGTACTGCATTAGGTGACCGGAAAATCGCCAATTCGTGGAAATCGGAGAGAAATTGAAGCGGATGGAGGGTCGCAATTAAGATTTGGTTACTGTCTACCAGTTTTAGCGTCATAAATAATTCATCGATGAATTCGAATAGATGGAAGAAAATAATTAGGGATCGTCCATAAAAAACTAAGACTTGATTTGAATTCGACGTTTATAGAAAGTTTGATGCACGGGTTTTCATGAATATTGTGATTTTGATTTTCGCCTAAAAAAAACGCAACGGCGCCAATTCGCTCGAATTTTGATCCGAATGGCGGAACGCCCGCATAAATGAAAGGTCATTATATAAAACCGGAACTGAATTTTTAAAGAAGTAATTTATTTAAAATTTTTTGTTGTAATTATGTAAATTAGCGATACAGTACTGACACTATATGCTCCGAAAACAAGCGTACCACGAGGTACGAATTCTTCCATTCTTCACGTTTTAATTATTTTGCGAAAAATTCGGCAGAACGCGGAAACTTAATTAGTAATTATTCTTTACATAATCTCGCAACCATTGACTAATTACTCAAATAAGCCGCACTTTCTTATGTCACTCTAAGAAAATCGTTCCTCGTGTGTGCACAAGGCGTTCGCTACACATGTGCCACATTTTTTTTCTACGTGAATAATATAAACAGCGACAAATTACTTTATTATTTGTTGGAATTTTTTATTGAGTTGGAGTAACGCGACTAATTGCACTTGTATTGCGCTTTCTTTTTCTCTTGCTTGCTTATTTTCTCAACAAGAGTAATTTGATAAGCCTGAAGCCTTCGGTTGATGTGTTTTTTTTTTACTGATAAGGCAGCGACTGAGAGAAAATTGCACTTTCTATTGTAAGCGACAAGTCGAAAATTAAAACGGTGATTTAATTTTTCACTAGATGATATAAACTTGGAATAAATTGTGAGCGCTGTTATGTCAATGTTACCGACTGGATGTCGGCTTTCTGTTGCTGGCTGTCGAAGAAAGTCAACTTTGTTATTGAGATTTGTTATATTATAATTTACTACATCTGGCAAATAGCACATTAATGTTTATTTCTCCATTAACTGATTCTGAATAATGTGTAATTTTATATTTAAATTATATTGCTTTGCTTTTCTATTGATTTTTATTTCATTATTTCAGTAATTTGTTTATCTACATTTTTCTCGATAAGTATCTGAGCAGCACTTTTTTACATTTAAAAATAATATTTAAATAATTAAAACACACAAAAAATTGTAGAAATTTTGGAATTTTACATTTATTTTACACTGACTTTGTTTTATCCACTCTTTATTTTTGTGTCACAAATTTGTTTTTAATTTTTTTTTTTTTTTAATATAATTCATTATTTGGTTTTCAGTTGACTTCAAAATGCTTTCGTTTTAAATCGTCTTAATTTATTTTATTTTTCTCACCTTATCTCTACAAATATTCTCTGAAAGAAATTAAAAATATATGATAAAAATGAAAAGCCTCTGAACATCTTTTTTAATAAAAACAGATTTTTTTTCTGCTTTTATTCAACAATCTTAGTCATTCTTAATTTTGGATAATTATGTTTGGCAAATGTTGTATTCATATTTTTATATTCTCCACAATTTATTTTAGTTCCAATTTTTTTATCCTTACTTCTTCATTTGTTGTTAATCCTTTTTCAGTTTTATATCTTACACTTTCTGCATTTTTAATTTTAATTTAATTATAAACGTCAAATTTTTCAAAAAATTTTTCTTCTTAAAATGATTCTGTATTATCGCTTACTTCGGAGAATCTTTTCTAAATTATGAGATTTTTTGTTCTTTTGTTCTTTCCTTCTTTCTTGTTTTTTCTTTCTACTTTTCTTGCTTTTTTTTTCAGTTTATTATTTAACTCTCGCCCTGTTTTGCTCTTTTTATTTAATTTGTGACTAATCCTTTCTGTCTGTTGTTTATTTCTCAATTATTTGTCTTATTTTTCTTTTTTCGTTTTACTTTCTTTAAAGTGACCTCTATTTAATGACTTGGAATTCCGAATTAATATCAGTTGTTTATATTTATGTTATTTTGCTTTTCTTGTTATTTTCTGTGCGTTGTTTTTCCTTTATCTTGCCTAGTTTTACTACTGAATAGTATATCTTTCACTTTCTGCATCTTAAATTTCTAATGTAATTCAACTTTAAACGTCAACTTTTTTGGTATTTAATTTTTATTTAAAAAATTTTTTTTTTCAACATGAAGTTGAAATATTTTTCATATACTTTTGTCGTATTTTTATTCCCATGTAATTTTGTTTATTCTTTCTTCTTTCTTCTCTTATATGATTAAAGGTATTACAAAATATAAATTTATAAGAAACAGAAATATAAAAAAAAGTCAATATTCAATTTTCATTTTATACTAAATAAAATAAGTCAAAAAAATGGAAAAAGGGATTTGGGCGGGGCTAAATTTAGCTTTTTTATAGTTTTATGAGCAAGCAGCCCCGCCTACCCACTCCAGCTCCATTCCAGTGACTACTCTTAATATTGTTCAGTCGTATTTTAGCAAGTTTTAGCCCCACCCACCCACCCGTTTTTTCTTAGAGGATATGTCATTTACCAAAATCAATCTTTTCTTAAGAAGTACTAGTCCCGCCCACCCGCCCTCTATTCTCTTAGAAGGTATGTCGTTTATTACAATCAGTCTTATCTTAGCAAGTTTTGGCCCCACCCACCCACCCTTGTTTTCTTAGAGGATATACCATTTACCAAATCAATCTTTTCTTAACAAGTACTAGCCCCGCCCGCCCACCCGCCCGCTATTTTCATAGAAGGTATGTCTTCCACAATTAGTCTTATCTTAGGAAATACTAGCCCCTCCCACCCACGCTTTATTTTCTTAGAGAGTATGCCATTTACCAAAATCAATCTTATCTTAGCAAGTATTAGCCCCGCCCTTACACGCTGTTCTCATTTTAACGATTTGATCTCTCTTAAATTGAGATCCACCTTTCATTCCGACTAGACCAACTGAATCACTGAATTGGAGGCGGGGTGGGTGGGCGTGGTGAATTATATGTTCTTTTGTAACGAGGGAATGGGAACTAATAGAACGTAGGCTGTTAAAAAAAAGCGTTAATCGTATTTTTTTATACTACTTACTGGCTATAACATTTATTTCGCACTTCTGAAGAAAAAAAATGAGGGATTGGGTGGGTGGGCGGGGCTAAGTTTAACTTTTTTCTACAGAATCTTTTATAGGCAGGCAATAACCCCGCCCACCCCCCCCTTTTCATTTCAGTGATTACTCTTAATATTGTTCAGCCATTTACCAAAATCAATCTAACTTTAAGAATTACTAGCCCCGCCCACCCGCCCTCTATTTCCTTAGGGGGTAGGTAATTTGTTCATATATGTGTCCTTGCAAAAATGTTGATGACGTCATCACAAAATTCCGTACTATCTATTCTTTATTTCTCAATTATTTGTCTTTTTTTCATTTTTCCTTTTCTTTTCTTTAAAGTGACCTCTGTTTAATGACTTGGAATTTCAACTATTTATATTTATGTTGTTTTGCTTTTCTTGTTATTTTCTGCTCGTTGTTTTTCCTTTATCTTCTCTAGTTTTACTATTGAATTATATATCTTGCATTTTCTGCATTCTTAAAGTTTTTATGTCATTCAACTTTAAACGTCAACTTTTTTTGGTATTCAATTTTTATTTTTGATTTTTTTTTTTCAATATTAAATTGAGATATTTTTTATATACCTTTTGTGTTTTTATAGCCATTGTATGATTTTTTATTCTTTTTAATCCTTTTTCTCTGTTGTTTATTTCCGAATTATTTGTCGTACTTTTCATTTTTTGTGTTCTTTTCTTTAAAATGACTTTTGTTTTTCTTGTTATTTTCTGTGCATTGTTTTTCCTTTATCTTGCCTAGTTTTACTACTGAATATTGTATCTTCCACTTTCTGCAAAATTTTTAATGTAATTCAACTTTGAACGTCAACCTTTTTGGTACTCAATTTTTATTTTTATTTTTTTTTTTTTTCAATATGAAGTTGAGATATTTTTCACATACTTTTGTTGTATTTTTATTCCCATGTAATTTTGTTTATTTTTTTCTTCTCTTATATTACGTAAATATTACAGGTATTACAAAATATAAATTTATGAAAAACATAAATATAAAAAAAACTGTCAGTATTCAATTTCTATTTTACACTAAATGAAATAAGACAGTGAAAATGGAAAAAGTAGTTGGGCGGGGCTAAATTAAGCCTACTCCAACTCCATTCCAGTGACTACTCTTAATATTGTTCAGTCGTATCTTAGCAAGTTTTAGCCCCTCCCACTCACCCTTTTTTTCCTTAGATAATATGTCATTTACCAAAATCAATCTTATTTTAAGAAATACTAGTCCCGCCCACCCGCTCTCTATTTCCTTGGGGGGTAGGTAATTTGTTGATATACGTGTCCTTGAAAAAATGTGAACTTTGAACGTCAACTTTTTTGGTATTCAATTTTTATTTTTGATTTTTTTTTGTATTTTTATATTCATTGTATCATTTTTTTATTCCTTCTAATCCTTTCTCTCTGTTGTTTATTTCCGAATTATTTGTCTTATTTTTCATTTTTTCGTTTTCTTTTCTTTAAAGTGACCTCTATTTAATGACTTAGAATTTCGAATTAATGTCAACCGTACACATTTATGTTGTTTCGCTTTTCTTGTTAGTTTTTCTGGGTTATTTTTCCTTTTTCTTTCCTATTTGTACTACTGAGTAGTATATCTTGCACTTTATGCGTTTTTACACTTTTAATCTGGGTAATTCGATTTTTTCTTGTTGTCAATTTTTATTTTTGATTTTTTTTTAACATTAAGTTATATTTTACTTATTTGTTATTTTTCAAAAAATTGCAGTTTTTTATTATTACATTGTTTGTTTATGTTTTCATACACATTTGCACAAACCGATGGTTGTTTTTTATTTTGTTTTTCAAAAAAACACAAAAATTCTTTGTACAACACATTTATTGAAAGAAAACAATACACAATAACATTAATAATTATATACAACTACGCTACAAAAAGTAAACAATACAACAAAAAATCATAAAATCACCATTTCCCTATAATATCTTCTTCCTCCTTCCACCTGGGAAAGTCCAACTTCTTTTCCTCTTCTCCACCTCTCTCTTCTTCTTCTTCTTCTTCTTCTTCGCACTTCTTCCTGTGTTTAATCGGCACTTTCACCTCCTCCTTCACCGGTACCGGTATCTTCTTCTCAACAGTGTAAGGTACATGCTTGATCACCTCATACGGTACCGGCCTTTCCACCTTAACCTCCACCGGATACGGTACTTCTTTAACCACAGGCACTTTCACGATTTTTTCCACGGGGTACGGCTGCGGCACTTCCACTTTGACCGGATACGGTACCTTTTTCTCCACAGTGTATGGTACCGGTCGTTCCACGTACACCTTCACAGGGTACGGCTTCTCCACAGGGTACGGTACGTGTACCTTCTTTTCCACTTTAACGGGATAGGGTTTGATGACTTCGTACGGCACGGGTCGGTCCACTGGCACCTTAACTGGTACCCTGACGATTTTTTCCACCGGGTATGGCTTGATAACGTGAACTGGTACTTTGACGGGGACCGGTACTTCTTTCTCCACGGGGTACGGTTGCGGCACTTTGACTTCGTAAGGAACGTGCACTTCTTTGATTACTGGGTAGGGTCTGGGTTCGTAGACTTTGACGGGGTAGGGTTGGTCCACTGGTACTTTGACTGGGACTTTGACGATGCGTTCCACTGGGACGGGTTTGTGGATGGGTACTGGGACTTTGATGAGTTCTTTCACCGCGTAGAAGACTTTTTTTAAGACGGGGTAGGGGTGAGGTACGGGGATTTTCACAGGCACTGGGACTGATTTTTCCACGGGTACTAACACTTGTTTTTCGACGGGGTAAGGTACTTCCACTTTTTTTTCAACGGTGATGATTTTCTCAGGGTGTTTTAAGTCCCATGAGTCTGATTCCCATTTTCCTTCGATTTCTCCGAAGCCTTCGTCTAGTTTGAGTTCTCCTCCGAGGAGCTCTTCGCTGTGCCATAGGTGGCGTTTTTCGTGCTTTTTTTCGGCACTGGTGGCTAAAATTGTCACCAGGAGGAACAACTGCAACAAAAATGTCACTTACTGTTAGTACTTATCCAAAGGGCACTTCACTATCACTGCACTTACAAGTACTTTCATGGTACTGATATTGCAACAAGTTGACAACGAACTAATAGTTCACACTGGGTCAGTGACCATTTATAGATACACTTTCAAATGCCCTTCCACTGTCATTATTATGTGACAGAATTATTAAAGTAATTTTTGAAAATATGATTATCGCGTCAGGTATAACTTGTCACAAGTAATACAATAATAGTACCAAAGTGATCTACGGTACGACTTTAAATTTTTAATCTGTGGGAACTAATCAATAATTTATTCGTAATATTATGTATGCTACATTTACTTTCAAGGGATTTTTTTTGAACTGGTGTCATTCCACTCGTACAAACAAGGATATTTGGGTCACTTGTTTCTATGTTTGTATCGACAAACATACATTTCTTAGCCTGATATATACATTAATGGCTTGAAATTTTTAATTGTGTATCACCCCAAAAAATTGATGACGTGTCTATCCGTTTGTTCCAGTGGTCCTATTAGCTTTTTATTTTTCACTTTTAGCCCAATTTTTTTGGTTTTATCAAGATAATTTTACCAAATTTAGCATATTCAGACCAATTTCGAGCCACTAAACCTCACGATCTCTCAGCCACAAAAACAATATTTGCTTTTTAACGACAATCTCTTCCAAAATCCTAATTATACCTTCGATCTGCAAGATGCTATCGCAGAAACCCATATTAACAATTTGAATCTTTGTCGTGCCCAACTCATTAGCCGTTTTTTCGCCTGCTTTTACTTTTCTTCAGTCCGTAAGTGCGATTTTTGAGTAGTTGCGGTCCACTTTCATATAAAAATTTCAGGCATGTTTTTCTAGCCTCTAGGTGCGCCTATAAATAAAATAAACAGTTATTTATGTGTTTAGATGAACTCGTTATTACGTTTTCACTTGGAAGAATTGGAAGGCTCTTCAGTCGTATTTAAATTTTTGCAATCATTTACGCTCAACCTGTTCGCTTCACGACTTTTAACTCATTGAAATGCAATACTGTTATAAATCTAATTAGTGCTGGTTGTTGTTCTCGCGTTTGATGTTTTATGCATACATAAATGTTTCAAATTTTAATTGTATGATTTTTTGATGTATTGTGTCTAATGTTAAAAAAACGCAAGATTGATTCGAGGGTAATTTACATAAATATGCAACAAAGATCAACGGCTGGGTTTTAAGGCGATTCTCAATTTCGTTAATTAGTTGTGGTATTTTAAGTAAAGTCATTAAACTTTTAATATGTTCGGTTTTAACATAGTTTCATGCTGAATTGTTAGTGGGATTAATTATAGAGCGAAATTAATGACGATTTCTTTTCGAATTTCTCTTATTTGGGGATTATTTTCACAATAATGATCGTTCTGATGACGATATAATTAACAAAATGCGTATTTTCTTATTTCGTGTTGCTGCGTTTGATTGGCTAAGTAGTGTGGGTCACGTGTTTGCATAATCAATACACAGGTCACGGTCACTTAAGTGAACAATATCGTTTTATGGATTACAGTTTTTATTATAAATAGAAGAAATCCATATAATTTTTAATAGCTTGGGCTTCTCGTTAACAGATGGCGCCGTATGAATTATATTCACTTTTATAATATTTATTATTTATTAGACAGCACACTATACACATAATTTTGAAAATAAAATTCTAAGAAACTCGCTTGTTGTGTGAGCAATTAAAGGCGGATGAGACGAGCTGAGAATTATCATATAAAATATAATGTAACATAATACATATATAACCTGGACAATTAAAATACAAGTGCAAGTATTATTGTCAATAAATGTCAACATAGCGATTCACCTTTAAAAAATAATTAACTATTAAATATAATAAATGAAGATGACATTTACGGGGAGTAACAGATGTTTCCTGCTTACATGTGTCCTTGTACTGGAATCGTTTTAAATTGTACTGTTTCAGAAAAAAAATTACTTTCCTGCAATCAATAACTTACTTTATTTACATCTTGTTAAATCACATTCATTGCTTGAATTTTTTTTAATGAAAGGATATTTTTTCGCCATTCCGTGAAATGACGCCATCAAATTTGTGGAGGAAATGAATGTGTATCTTCTGAACCACGTTCTCTAATTATTAGATTAAGTATTGTAGTGTTATATCAAAATATTTAAAAAAATAATAGAGAAATAAAAGTGGACACAAAATCAAAGTTATCGTGCTATAATAAAAATAATAATAAAATTAGAACGTTAAACTAACTGCAATTAAGACTAGAACCAATAGTCAAATTAAAATCGATCAGAATTAATAATTACTTAAATTTAATCTTAATATAGGCAACCTTATTTACACACGCGTTTACTAATTGCATCCCTTCTGGTACTGAAAATTTTAACATTTTATGTATTTTAACTGCTTATTGAATTATATCTGTTTATAGCACCGTTAAAAACGTTTTTTATCGTTAATCAAAATTTATCCGTTTACTCCCTCTCAAAAATTGATGACGTAATCTCAAAATTGTGGTTTATTAATGGAATTGCACTTATGGGTTTTATAATCAGTAATCACAGTTATGGGGAGACTGAAAAAAAATTGAATATAAAAATTTTTATGACTTTCGATCTTTTTTTTTCTAAAACTTGAATATGCTCCCTGCACTCGTATTCTGAATGTTCTTTTATTATAAAAATAATTCTGGAGCTCTCTCTGTGTGTTTTGATAAAAATTATCAGCAGAGGAAGCTGGCCAAAAATCCAAACAATTATTTCCAAAAATCACTCAAAGTGATTTAGTTTAAGCTTCTAATGAGTTGGAGTAAATGTTACACACAATGATTATAAAAAACCAAGAAAAGATTATTAAGTTGGATTTGAAATTGGCCACTTCACGGTGTAACAAATGTCAATCGTTACCCCACTTTTTGAGAAAATGGAACTTTATATAGATTACTTTATAATCAACCTCTATAGTTTAAACAGGGCATCAAAAAATTTTCTGTTTTTTTATGTCAAATAATATCGAGGGGCCCTTGTATGATTTTTTTTTATTTCCAAAGAATCTAGGAAACCCCGAGTGTGATTTTTTTTTAAAATTGTGAATAATCTAAAAAGCTCCTAGTGTGATTTTTTATTAAATGTCAAAGAATCTCGGGGAACCCTAGTGTGTTTATTTAAATGCCAAAGAAGCTCCGGAGCCCCAAGTGTGAATTTTTTTAAACGTCAAAGAATCTCGGGGAACGCAAGTGTGATTGCAGTGCATTTTTTAAATGCCAAAAAATGTCAGGGGTCTCGAATGCAATTTTTTTCAATGCCAAAGAATTTCGGGGGACCCAAGTGTGATTTTTTTTCGCCAGCAAATCTCAGGAACCCCGAGTGTATCTTTTTATGATTTTTTTTAATGCCAAAGAATCTCGGGGGTTCCGAATTCGACTTTTCTTTTTGAATGACAGAGAATCTCAGGAGCCCCAACCAAGTGTGATTTTCTTTTTAAATGTCAAACAAGAATCTCAAGGACCCTAGTGTGATTATTTTTAATTCCAAAGAATCTCGGGGGTGCCAAATCCGAGTTTTTTTTTAAATGCCTAAGAATCTCGAGGGTCCCAAGTGTGATTTTTTAATGCCCAAGAATCTCGGGGAACTCTGGTGTTTTTTTAAATGCCAAAAAAATCTCAGCGCCCTAAGTGTGGTTTTCTTTGAAATGCAAAGTGCAATTTTTTTTAAATGTCAAAGAATCTAGGAAGCCCTAGTGCGGTTTTTTAAAATTTAAAAAAATGTAGAAGGCTTCTAGTGTGATTTTTTGTTAAATGCCAAAGAATGTTATGAGCCTCAAGTGTGTTTTTTTAAATGGCCAAGAATCTCGGGAACCCCAAGTGTGAATTTTTTTAAATGTCAAAGAATCTCGGGGAACGCAAGTGTGATTTTAAATGCCCAAGAAACTCGGGGAACGCTAGTGTTTTTTAGTTAATCTCAAAAAATCTTATAGGCCCCCAACTGTGATTTTCTTTTTAAATGGCAAAGAATCTCGGGGGCCTCAAGTGTGATTTTTTTAAATGTCAAAGAATTTCGGGGGTCCCTAGTGTGACTTTTTTAATTAGCAAAGAATCTAGGAGGCTTCAAGGGTGATTGTTTTTAATGTCAAAGGATCCCGAGGTTCCCGAGTGCAAAATTCTTTTAAATGCCAAAGAATCTCGAGGGTTCGAAATGTGATTTTTTTTAAATGCTCAAGAATCTCGGGGATCTCTCGGGTTTTTTTTTTAATGCCACATAATCTCAGGGCCTCCAAGTGTGATTTTCTTTTTAAATATCAAAGAATCTCAGGGGCTGCTTGTATAACATTTTTTAAACGGCAAACAATCTTGGGGACCCCGTGTGCAAGATTTTTTTAAATGTCAAAGAATCTCGGGGGACGAGAATCCGTTTTTTTTTAAATGCCTGATAATCTCGGGGGTCCCAAGTGTGATTTTTTTAAATGCCCAAGAATCTCGGGGAAATTTAGTGTTTTTTTTAAATCCTAAAAAATCTCAGGGGCCTCAAGTGTGATTTTCTCCCGGAATGCCTAAGAATCTCGAGGAACTCTAGTTTTTTTTTATTTAAATGTCGAAAAATTTCAGGGGTCCCAAGTGTGATTTTTTTAAATGTCCAAAAATCTCGGGGGACCCTAGCGTAATTTTTTTAAAATCAAAGAATCTCGAGGGTCACGATTCCGTTTTTTTTTAAATGCCTGATAATCTCGGGGGTCCCAAGTGTGATTTTTTTAAATGCCCAAGAATCTCGGGAAAATTTAGTGTTTTTTGGAATCCCAAAGAATCTCAGGGGTCTCAAGTGTGATTTTCTCCCGGGAGTCTCGAATCCGACTTATTTTTTAAATGCCTAAGAATCTCGGGGAACTCTAGTATTTTTTATTTAAATGTCGAAAAATTTCAGGCGTCCCAAGTATGATTTTTTTAAATGTCAAAAAATCTTGGGAGTTCCTAATGTGACATTTTTTAAATGGCAAAGATTCTCGGGGGCCCCAAGTGTGATTTTCTTTTTAAATGTCAAACAAGAATCTCGGGGACCCCAGTGAGATTATTTTTAATTCCAAAAACTCTAGGGGGTGCCAAATCCGAGTTTTTTTTAATGCCCAAGAATCTCGAGGGTTCCAAGTGTGATAGTTTTAATGCCCAAGAATCTCGGGGAACTCTAGGGTTTTTTTTAAATGCCAAAAAAATCTCAGCGCCCCAAGTGTGGTTTTCTTTGAAATGCAAAGTGCAATTTTTTTTTAAATGTCAAAAAGAATCTAGGAACCTCTAGTCCGATTTTTTAAAATTTTAAAAAATCTAGAAGGCTTCTAGTGTGATTTTTTGTTAAATGCCAAAGAATGTTATGAGCCTCAAGTGTGTTTTTTTTAAATGGCCAAGAATCTCGGGAGCCCCAAGTGTGAATTTTTTTAAATGTCAAAGAATCTCGGGGAATGCAAGTGTGATTTTTTTTAAATGCCAAAGAATCCCGGGGGTCCCAAGTGTCATTTTTTTAAATGCCCAAGAAACTCGGGGAACGCTAGTGTTTTTTATTTAAATCTCAAAGAATCTCATAGGCCCCAACTGTGATTTTCTTTTTAAATGGCAAAGAATCTTGGGGGCCTCAAGTATGATTTTTTTAATTGTCAAAGAATTTCGGGGGTCCCTAGTGTGACTTTTTTAATTGGCAAATAATCTAGGGGGCCTCAAGGGTGATTTTTTTTAATGTTCAAGGATCTCGAGGTTCCCGTGTGCAAAATTCTTTGAAATGCCAAAGAATCCCGGGGGTCCGAAGTGTGATTTTTTTAAATGCCCAATAATCTCCGGGATCTCTCAGGTTTCTTTTAAATGCCACATAATCTCAGGGCCTTCAAATGTGATTTTCTTTTTAAATGTCAAAGAATCTCAGGGGCTCCTAGTGTAACATTTTTTAAAAGGGCAAAGAACCTTGAGGACCCCGAGTGCAAGATTTTTTTTAAATGTCAAGGAATCTCGAGGGACGCTAGCGTAATTTTTTTAATATCAAAGAATCTCGAGGGTCGCGAATCCGTTTTTTTTAAATGCCTGATAATCTCGGGGGTCCCAAGTGTGATGTTTTTAAATGCCCAAGAATCTCGGGGAAATTTAGTGTTTTTTTTAAATCCCAAAGAATCTCAGGGGCCTCAAGTGCGATTTTCTCCCGGGAGTCTCGAATCCGACTTATTTTTTAAATGCCTAAGAATCTCGGGGAACTCTAGTATTTTTTATTTAAATGTCAAAAAATTTCAGGGGTCCCAAGCGTGATTTTTTTTAAATGTCCATGAATTTTGCTGATCTCTCGGGTTTTTTTAAATGCCACATAATCTCAGGGCCTCCAAGTGTGATTTTCTTTTTAAATGTCAAAGAATCTCAGCGTCTCCTAGTGTAACATTTTTTAAACGGCAAAGAATCTTGGGGACCCCGAGTGCAAGATTTTTTTAAATGTCAAAAAATCTCGGGGGACCCTAGCGTGTTTTTTTTTTAATATCAAAAAATCTCGAGGGTCGCGAATCCGATTTTTTTTAAATGCCTGATAATCTCAGGGGCCCACATGTGTTTTTTTTTAAATGCCGAAAAATCTCGGGGAAATTTAGTGTTTTTTTTAAATCCCAACAATCTCAGGGGCCTCAAATGTGATTTTCTCCCGGGGGTCCCGAATCCGACTTATTTTTTAAATGCCTAAGAATCTCGGGGAACTCTAGTATATTTTTTTTTAAATGTTAAAAAATCTTGGAAGCTCCTAATGTGACATTTTTTAAATGGCAAAGAATCTCGAGGGCCTCAAGTGTGAGTTTGTTTTTAAATGTCAAAGAATCTTAGGGGCTCCTAGTGTGACATTTTTCAAACGGCAAAGAAACTCGAAGCACCCTAGTATGATTTTTTTAAATGCCCAAGAATGTCGGGGAACTATAGTGATTTTCTTTTAAATGCAAAGTGAATTTTTTTTTAAATGCTACAGAATCCCGGGGGACCCTAGTGTGTTTTTTTTAATGTCAAAGAATCTCGGGGAACTCTGGTATTTTTTATTTAAATGTCAATTCTCAGAGGCCCCAAGTGTGATTTTCTTTCTAAATGTCAACGAATCTCGGGGCCCCTGGTGTGACTTTTTTTAAATGGCAAAGAATCTCGGGGGTCCGAACTGTGATTTTTTTAAATGCGCAAGAATCTCGGGGAACTCACGCATTTTTTTCTTTAAATGCCAAAGAATCTCATGGGCCCCAAGTGTAATTTTCTTTTTAAATGTCAAAGTATCTCAGGGGCTCGTAATGTGACATTTTTTAAAAGGCAAAGAATCTCGGGACCCCTAGTGTGATTTTTTTTTGATGTCAAAGAATCACGAGGGTCCCGAATCCGACTTTTTTTTAAATGCCTAAGAATCTCGGGTGCCCCAAGTGTGTTTTTATTTTTAAATGTCAAAGAATCTCAGGGGCTCCTACGGTGACATTTTTTAAAAGGCAAAGCATTTTGGGAACAATAGTGTGATTTTTTTTTATGTCAAAGAATCACAAGGGTCCCGAATCCGACTTTTTTTAAATGCATAAAAATCTTGGGGGTCCTAAGTGTGATTTTCTAAATGCCTAAGAATCTCGGGGGCCCTAAGTTTGATTTTCTTTTTAAATGTCAAAGAATCTCAGGGGATCCTAGAATGACATTTTTTAAATGGCAAAGGATCTCGGGGGCCCCACGTGTGACTTTTTTAAATGTCAAAGAATTTCGGGGGCTTCTAGTGTCACATTTTTTAAATGGCAAAGGATCTCGGTTGCCCCGAGTGTAAAATTTTTTAAAATACCTAAGAATCTCGGAGGATCCAAGTGTGATTTTTTTTAAATGCCGAGGAGTCTCGGGGACCTCTAGCATTTTTTTTATTTAAATGTCAAAAAAATCTCAGGGGTCACAAGTGTGATTTTTTTTTAAACGTCAAAAAATACTGGGAGCTCCTAATTTTTTTAAATGTCAAAGAATCTCAAGGGCCCGAAGTGTGATTTTTTAAAATGGTCAAGAATGTCGGGGAACTGTCGTGTTTTTTTTTAAATGACAAAGAATCTCAGGGGCCCCACGTACGATTTTGTTTTAAAATGTCAAATAATCTTAGAGACTCCTAGTGTGACATTTTTTAAACGACAAAGAAATTCGGGGGACCCTAGTCTGATTTTTTTTAAATGCCCAAGAATCTCGGGGAACTATAGTGATTTTTTTTAAATGCAAAGTGCAATTTATTTTTAAATGCTGAAGAATCCCGGGGGACGCTAGCGTGTTTTTTTTATGCCAAAGGATCTCGGTGGTTCCGAATCCGACTTTTTTTTTTAAAGCGCAAGGATCTCGGGGGTCCGAAGTGTGATTTTTTTAAATGAGCAAGAATCTCGGGGAACTCATGTATTTTTTCTTTAAATGCCAAAGAATCTCATGGGCCACAAGTGTAATTTTCTTTTTAAATGTCAAAAAATCTCAGGGGCTCCTAGTGTGACATTTTTTGATGTCAAAGAATCACGAGGGTCCCGAATCCGATTTTTTTTTAAATGCATAAGAATCATGGGGGTCCCAAGTGTGATTTTTTAAATGCCTAAGAATTTCGGGGGCCCCAAGTGTGATTTTCTTTTTAAATGTCAAAGAATCTCAGGCGCTCCTAGTGTGACATTTTTTAAAAGGCAAAGAATCTCGGGACCCCTAGTGTGATTTTTTTTTTTGATGTCAAAGAATCACGAGGGTCAAGAATCCGACTTTTTTTTTAAATGGCTGATAATCTTGGGGGTTCCAAGTGTGATTTTTTAAATGCCTAAGAATCTCATGGGCCCCAAGTTTGATTTTCTTTTGAAATGTCAAAGAATCTCAGGGGACCCTAGTGTGATTTTTTTTTAAATGTCTAATTATCTCGGGGGTCCCGAATCCGACTTTTTTTTTAAACGCCAAAGAATCTTGAGGGTTCCAAGTGTGATTTTTTTAACTGGAAGATATTCTTCCGGTTCTACGAACACAGTACATTCCGTGGCAAATCGAAGTAAAAAATATTCATCGCTCAGAATAGTGCAGATCTGAGTAGCTTGCAGAGAATGTGAAAATACTTAGCACTGTAAAAAATAATCATCAATGTGTACTCTTTTTCAACAATGATGGCAATTATCATCAAGCTAACCCGTTATAGTTACACCTGTTTAAGTCATTAAGAGAAACAATCAACTTGAATTGACTTAAAGGTTTTGTTATGTACATAACCACTTCACTTTCTATACATGCACAGGTTTTGATATTACTTGACTGCGTATTTTAACATCTAATTTCATGTACTTGTAAGAATTTAGTGTACGTAATTTCCTGTCCGTTTGATTTTTTGAAAAATAAAGTCAAATTTGTTTCCGAATTAGTCTTGGTAATTTTAACGCTCAAAGTTCTCGCTTAACGATTGCCAACATTAAACATATTTGTACAGCTTTTGTTAGCAGTAATCACATTAATTGAAATAGAAACTCTCCAGTGACACTCAATCCGTCCGGAAACACTCATTATGTCTTCGCACGTAACAATTCCATCGATCGAACGAAACCGAAAGTTTTCATCTTGACCTGCTATTGAAGTCACTTTTCCGTGCACTTTTTCACCGATCCAGTTCGACTTAATTACCGATAATGAGCATAAATTTTCTTGAGTTGCGTCAAAGAGAAATTTTTGAGTTACAAAATGGTATTGTGTGGACAGGAAATCCCGCACGCAATAGCGATATTATGCATTGTTGGGAGATAAAGTCAGAGGGTAATTAAATTATTTATTAAGAAACATAAGTTACATAGAACACTAGGTAACTAATTTGGCATAAATAACGCAAACAAGTTATAAAAATAAACGGGATTTATAGTTAACGATAATATCTATGGGACTTAGTAGTGGTCGATGTGGTGGTGGTAGTGGTCGTGGACGGGGATTCCCACTGGTACTTTGATGGGTACTGCGACCGGTTTTTCCACGGCGTACGCCACTGGTTTGATCACGGGGTAGGGGACGGGTCTGTCCACGGCGATTTTCACGGGGTAAGGTACGGGTTTCTCAACTGGTACTGCAATGTGTCTTTCGACTGGGTAGGGTTGTGGTACTGGAACTTTAACTTCGACTGGGTATGGTTTGGGAACTGGTACCGCTACAGGTCTGTCGACTGGTACTTTAACTGGGTAAGGTACGAGTTTTTCGACTGGGTAGGGTACTTGCTTTTCGATGTGGACGGGGTAGGGTTGTGGAACGTGAACTGGTACTGGTCTATCGACTGGGACTTTCACGGGTACATGAACCTCTTTAACGACGGGGTAGGGTTGAGGAACGTGCACTGGGACTTTCACGGGGTAGGGGACGTTCTTAATGACTGGGTAGGGTTGTGGTACTGGTACTTTCACCGGAACGTGGATGTGTTTTTCGACTGGGTACGGCTGTGGTACTAAGACTTTGACGGGGTAAGGTCTGTCAACTGGGACTTTGACGGGAACGTGCACGATTTTCTCAACGGGGTAGGGTTGTGGTACCGGAACGGGCACCTTAACTGGTACTTTGACGGGGTAAGGTACGTGCTTCTCCACCGGGTAGGGTTGTGGTACTGGTACTTTTACCGGATACGGAATATGTTTTTCGACTGGAACCGCGATGTGTCTCTCGACTGGGTACGGCACTGGTACTCCTTTGATAAGCGTGATGGTTTTCTCAATCGCGGTGCTGTGTCCCAAGTCGATGGGTCCAAACCCGTAGCCAAGAGCTGGCGCCGCCAATCCCACGGCGTGTCCACCCCCAACTAGGTACCCATGGTCGATGTCACTCCCATATCCGTACCCCAGACCCAATAATCCTCTTTTCGTTTGTTTCTTATCGACGGCTTTATCGGTCTTCTCCTCTGCCTCGGCCCTCGCGGCCACTGCAGCAAGGACTAAGATCGATATAACGAACTGAAAATAAAAAAAAATCAGTCACATAGTCCTTCACTTCACTTCACTTCACTCCTCACCAAAGCTCTCATCTTCCACATGTGAGTTCAACTAGTTCAAGAACTGAACTGTGCGGTTTGGGGTCCTTCAGTCACTTTTATATCTCTGCGCGACTTTCGCTGGGCGCTTCACCACCATCCACTTCTCCCTCCGCGAGAAAGTCGATTTTCAATAGCGCGCAGAAGGATGTCCTTTACGTAACGTACTAGTTAGTGGTTGTTTCGAGTCTAACGTTGCGTTTTCGCGTTGCGTTTCAGGTACTTCGTGAGCACGCTGCTGCAGTTCCAGATCTACAGGGCGTTGTGTAGGGCAGCGGGGCAGTATGATTCCGGGGATTTGTCCAGGCCGCTGCACAAGTGCGACATTTACAGGAGCAAGGAGGCAGGAAGGATCTTGACGTAAGTAGACAGGTGGTTGGGAACGGGGGTTGCGAAATGTTCTCAGGATTTTTTATTGGAATTGGAAATTTTCGGGGAAACCTTGACGGTTACGACAGCGTAATTTTGATGAGGAGTTGCTTCATTTTAAACGTTGTTAAGGCTCGTCCTAGAAAATATCGCACGGTCTTTCCACATATTTATATAAAATTAAAATGGAGCGTAAATTACGGTCGTAAAACTTACACAATTTATAATAGTTCCGCATTTATTAAAAAAAAAAATAAAGTAGCTACAACTTCAATTCCAAAAAAACATATAAAGCAAATTTTTCGCAAATATGAAATCGTGCTTTCTGCGAAATAATTTCAGACGTTGTCGACATTGATCGCACTCGAGTGGAAAATGAAAAATTTTACTGTGCGAAATAGTTTGATACCTTTGAAATGTAGTTTGAAGTATATTGCAAATATCGGATATCAGACAAAATCGAACTTTTCAAATAAACAAGATCAGGCGTGATAGGAAAAGGAAGTCTCATCTTAGTTTTCATCTACGACGATGAAATCCATTTAATTAAGTAATTCGATAATTTTTGAAAACAAATGAAAATATTTCAAGCTTCAAATTCCTTATCAATGTACCAGTTATGCAATAATAAAGATTATCATACTTCATTTGTAAAAGTCAGCAAAACTAGTACATAAATATGTACAAGTGTAATTATGTGATGGAAAATCTGTCTAGCATAAAACAGTGTTATTATACTAACGAAGGTTTAAATTAAGGTTGCCTAAGAACAATTCTAGCAAAATTAAAATAAATAAAGCTAACGATCGAACTAAATCAGAGTTGAACTTAAATTAATGTACGGGAATTTTCTTCACATTCACATTCTTGACAGCTGATACTGCAAAATCGAGCCTCAGTTGTGAGATTTACTTGTATATTTTAGGTGAAAGAAAGTAATGTTTGTCTATTTGAATATTTCATATGTTGGGAGTGATAAAATAAAAATTTATGCAATACTTGAATAAATTTATTTTTTTATTATAAACTTAGTAAGAAACACGTCTAGGGTTTTTCTCTTTTTACTAAATTTTTGACATATCGTAAAAATAACAATTCCTAAAAATAAAGAGCGGAGAATAAATTCGAATTTTCCTCGGTTATTTAAAGAGATTAATGACGAATTCGTTATCCTGAGAAGATTTTCGATGAGTGAGTCTGTTGGCAATCCTGGATTTTTAGCTGAAATTGGTATCGTGATGTTTTGTATATTTTCCGGTTGTCAGCTGTCAAGGTTGACAGATTGTTGACATTTTTAATTTGCAAATAATGTATCCACAATATAACCTCAATTTATTACATGTCACGATTGACGTATCTGCTACACAATTATTTCCGTTGTGCCAACATAAACGCTAGAAATGCTCACATTTTTTTTTAAGTACTGCCAGACTCAGTCATTGCGGATCACGCGGGAAAAAATGCCATTCGAAAATTGGAAAAAATTAAAAATCGAAACATCAAAAATTGAAAATTTGAAAAAACTGACATTTAAAAATCGAAAAGCCGAAAAGTCGAAAAATTGAGAAACTGAAACATGGAGAAACAAAACATCAAAAGATCGAGAATTCGAAAAGACGAGAAGCCGAAAATTCGAAAAATTAAAAAATTGAACAATTGAAAAATTGGAACAATCGAAAAACGAGAAATTGAAAAATTCAAAATTAAAAAAATTCAAAAATAAAAATCGGAAAATTGAGTTAAAAAAACATCCAAAACTGAAATGATGTCATGATCGAAAAATCTAAATATCCAAAAAATTTCAAAACTTAAATATTGAGAAACGAAATATCGAGAAATCGTAAAGTCGAGAAATCGAAAAATCGAAAAATTTAATAGGTCGAAAAATCAAAATTTTAAAAGTCAAAAAATTGGAAAACCGATAAATCCAAGTTCAAAAAGTCGAATACTTAAAAATTCGGAATAATCTAAAATTTTAAAATTCGTAAAACTGAAACATGAAAAAATTGAAATATTGAAAATTTAAAAAATCTAAAATTTAGAAATTGAAAAATTTAAAAATCAAAAAATTGAAATATCGAAAAGCGGAAAAGTCGAAAAATCGAAATCCAAGAAACCGAAAAATCTAAAAATTGAAAAACGGGAAAATTGAAGAATTAGAAAACTAAAAAAACGGCAAAATGAAAATTAACGAAAAATTGGAAAATTGAAAAACCGAAAAATTGGAACATTAAAAAAATTGAAAAACTGAAATATGGAGAAACGAAATATCGAGATATCGAGAAATTGAACAATCGAAAATTTACAAATCGAATATGTAATTGAAAAATCGAAAAATCACAAAAAAAAATCTGAAAATTGAAAAACCGAAAAATCTAAAATCGAGAAGTCGAAATCTGAAAAATTTAAATTTTCAAAATTCGAAAAATTGAAGAATCGAAACAAGAAAAAAAATGAAAAAAATGAAAAATCTCAAATATAGAAATTCAAAAATTTTAAAATCGAAAAATTGAAATATGGAAAAACCAAAAGTCGAAAAAACGAAAAGTTAAAAAATGAAAAAATTGATAAAATAAAAAAAATGAAAAATCGAAAAACTAAAAAATTGAACAATTGAAAAATTGGAACATCGGCATCTCGATAAATTGAAAAATCGAAAAATTTAAAAATCGAGTAATTGAAAAATCCAAAAATCGAAAACCGAGAAACTGAAAAAATCTAAATTCAAAAAATTCAAAAATTCAAAAATCGGAAAATTAAGTTAAAAAAACATCCAAAACTGAAGTGACGCAAAATTGGAAAATCGAAAAATCGAAAAATCGAAAAATCTAAATATCCAAAAAATTTAAAAACTTAAATATTGAGAAACGAAATATCGAGAAATCGTAAAGTCGAGTAACCGAAAAATCGAAAAATTTAATAGGTCGAAAAATCAAAAATTTTAAAAGTCAAAAAATTGAAAAACCGATAAATCCAAGTTCAAAAAGTCGAATACTTAAAAATTCGGAATAATCTAAAATTTTAAATTTCGTAAAACTAAAACATGAAAAAATTGAAATATTGTAAATTTGAAAAATCTAAAATTTAGAAAATGAAAAATTTAAAAATCAAAAAATTGAAATATGGAAAAGCGGAAAAGTCGAAAAATCGAAATCTAAGAAACCGAAAAATCTAAAAATTGAAAAACGGGAAACTTGAAAAATTAGAAAACTGAAAAAACGACATAATGAAAAATAACGAAAAATTGGAAAATCGAAAAACCCAAAAATTGAAACATTAAAAAAATTGAAAAATTGAAATATAGAGGAACGAAATATCGAGAAATCGAGAAATTGAACAATCGAAAAATTGAAACATCGAAAATTTACAAAAAATTGAAAAACCGAAAAATCTAAAATCGAGAAATCAAAATCCGAAAAATATAAATTTTCAAAATTCGAAACATTGAAGAATCGAAAAATGAAAAAAAATGAAAAAATGAAAAATTGAAAAATCTCAAATATAGAAATTGAAAAATTTTAAAATCGAAAAATTGAAATATGGAAAAGCCAAAAGTCGAAAAAACGAAAACCAAGATATCGAAAAATTGAGAAACTGAAACATGGAGAAACAAAACATCAAAAGATTCAGAAATCGAAAAGTCGAAAAACCCAAAAATCGAAAAATTGGGAAATCTAAAAAGCACAAAATCGAAAAAATGAAAAGTTAAAAATTGAAAAAATTGATAAAATTAAAAAAGTCCATAAATCAAAAAACTGAAAAATTGAAAAATTAAAAAATTGAACAATTGAAAAATTGGAACATCGACATCTCGATAAATTGAAAAAGCGAAAAATTTAAAAATCGAATAATTGAAAAATCCAAAAATCGCAAACCGAGAAACTGAAAAATTAAAAATTAAAAAAATTCAAAAATTCAAAAATCTGAAAATTGAGGAATTAAAAAAAATCAAAACTGAAATGACGAAAAATTGGAAAATCGAAAAATTGAAAAACTGATAAATCCAAGTTCAAAACGTCGAATACTTTAAAATTCGGAATAATCTAAAATTTTAAATTTCGTAAAACTGAAACATGAAAAAAATTGAAATATTGAAAATTTGAAAAATCTAAAATTTAGAAATTGAAAAATTTAAAAATCAAAAAATTGAAATATCGAAAAGCGGAAAAGTCGAAAAATCGAAATCCAAGAAACCGAAAAATCTAAAAACAGAAAAACGGGAACATTGAAGAATTAGAAAAGTGAAAAAACGACAAAATGAAAAATAACGAAAATTGAAACATTAAAAAAATTGAAAAATTGAAATATGGAGAGACGAAATATCGAGATATCGAGAAATTGAACAATCGAAAAATCACAAATTTAAAAATCTGAAAATTGAAAAACCGAAAAATCTAAAATCGAGAAGTCGAAATCTGAAAAATATAAATTTTCAAAATTCGAAAAAGTGAAGAACCGAAATATGAAAAAAATGAGAAAAAAAAAATTAAAAAATCTCAAATTTAGAAATTGAAGAATTTTAAAATCGAAAAATTGAAATATCGAAAAGCCAAAAACTCGAAAAATCAAAAAACGGCGAAATCGAAAAATTTTAAATTTAAAAATTCGAAAAACTTGAAAAATCGGAAAACTAAACTTGAAAAATCGGAAAACTGAATAATCGAACAACTAAAAATCCAGAAATGAACAAATCCAAAACTGAAATAATGAAATATTGGGAAATTAAAATTTGAAAAATCGGAACATCGAACAATTGGAAAATCGAAAATTTGAAAAGCCGAAAAATCGAAAAATTGGAAAATCTTAAAAGCCCAAAATCGAAAAGTAAAAAATTGACAAAATTGAAAAAATTAAAAAACTCCATAAATCAAAAAACTGAAAAATCGAATAATCAAGATATTGAACAATCGAAAAATTTATCGACATCTCGATAAGTCGAAAAAGAGAAAAATTTTAAAATCGAATAATTGAAAAATCGAAAAATCTAAATT